AAAATGCTTGATACAGTTACCTCCTCCTGTCTACAGGTTGGGGTCATGATGGTGAACAAGTGTGCAAAGTTTCAAAGCCATATGTCATTGGACTTTGAAAATATTTAAACTATTACAAAAACTTTAACATAAGTGGTTACGCCGACGCCGACGCTCGGGTGACTACAATAGCTCTACTTATTCTTATCGCATAGTCGAGCTAAAAATATGACACTGGTTATATTACCATGTTGATCATGTTGAGCATAATTGTTTATTATACAATAATTGTAATATCTATTAATTTTAATAAAAAAAATACAAATTTTATGAATATTGTTTTCTTTTCTTTTTTGTGTTTTATGTGCTATTTTAATACTGAGTTTTTACTACTCTTTTTTATTAAAATTGTAAAATAAATTTTAAGAATTCAATTGACATATTGACCAACGATTATAAGTCAACACTTAACTGGGAAAAGTCAGTAAATTATGGTTTATCTTTCAATATATAATATTGTTTATTCTTAAACCATCTACATGTACATTTGTATTTTCTTTATCATTTTTTAAATTATCAATCAATTGAATAATTCATAAAATCTAATTTGTAACTTTGAATGATTCCTCGGCATCTTTACTAAACACGGATTACAAATCAAATAAAATGTTTCAAAGTTGAAATTGTTTGCATTACGAAATTCTCCAGTTCGCTATTCATTGTAACATATCGCGACATTTCATTCTTAATTAATAATCAAGCATCCTCATACCGATCGGAATGATCGGCTTTTATTATGACCGACTAAAAGGCTCGAGAAGTTGCTGTCGCCCTTTCACAAAATCTGATTTCATTCCATAAGGGCGCCGCGCTTCGGCAAGGACGCCAATGATACCGACTTGTACAGAGATATATATAGGCAGTGGATCCGCCGCCATCAATAACATGTGGAACACATATTGGCCTACTTCGTGAAAAAAGCTGCTCCGTTAAAGACAATACGTTTGTGATGTCAATTTTAAAGTTATACCATGCACCGCATTGTTTTACATGTACATGCCAATAACAGAGATAACTTTTTAATTTGTAAATATTTCTTGTTAGAAATTTTTTGTATCATTTAGGGGATAGATTCCTATTTATGTTCTGTGTAATTTTATTTCCAGTCAGTATGAAAAGTTTAATATAAATCTATCCAATATACATTTTGCTATGCTTTAATGAGTAAACCTGGAATCACATACATGTAATGTAATGAAGACTATATGCAGACTATAACGCACCTGCGTGTTTATTGTACATATGTTAACAAAGGTAAAGTCAGTGCACTAAATGACTTATATTATAAGATATAAAAGGTATTTGAATATACACATGTGACAAACAAATTATCTTGATAAGAGGTTCCATTTACTTTCCTACAATGCTCATATAGAAAGCTAGTAAACCAATATAGTAATACAAGAAATAGTTTATATTCAGAGTGTTCTTTTATCTATTGTTGCCATTGGTAACCCTATAATGCTAGTAAGACTGTAGTAGTTATATTAATCCTATCCCATATTATATGTAGAAATTATCAATTTTCTGTTTTAGAAGTATTACTGTATAAGTGGATATTTATGTGTCACAAAAATTTTGCAAATGTCAAAAAGTGGACTTTTTGCATGTGGAAATATTTGCGAAAATATGATTTCTTGAATTTAAACTGTTTTTCTGATATCATTAATAGAGTTATGTGATTTGCTTTGTCACAGGAGTTATGAATCTTATAGAGACAAGTTTTTGATTTCTTTGTTTTCTTTTATTTTCATTTGGAAGCAATGAGACTTAAATGTTGCAGAAAGCACATCATGCCACATAATTAAAAATTTCATGTTTAAATAAAAAAGATATATAAAAACAAAGTGTAACAAGATTAAGGTCAATGACAACCTTTGAAACAACAAATTATTTTTACAAAGCAATTCGTATTAGATAAACTACTAATATTCATGCTAAATATGCAGTTTTTATTTGTTTGGGTCGTCAGTCAAAAGAACATGTCTAAAACTATGCCGTTGCTACTTAATGGACAACTACTGTATGATGGCTGTGTTCACACTTCAGAAAACAACTAATTTCTTATGTGTTAAAAATGAAATCATTATATAAACGAAAAAATCCAATTTTGAAAATTATTTTGGAAAAATAAAGATCTGTTAGATCTAAATCAATTATCATTATACTGTAACCGTCTTTTTATCGCAGTTTCATCATTCACAAATGTCTACATTTTAGTGTGTGCCTTTATCTTTGCAAAATATAAAAATGGCTGAAAACATTAAAATTGTGGACAAAAAGAAGACAAGGTTGGGAACATTAAGTAAAGTCAAAATTAGTCCTGTATGACCATGCCATTTAGCAACAATACAACTAATTTGAGACATCTTGATCGTTAACACTGGAACAAGGTTAAACATCTGTCAACTACGCTGGTGCCAGCAGTTTATACACAATAAAAAACATGTAAAAGATATTTTTTTTATAAACAAAACACATCACAAGTTCATGTATAGAAGGTGTTTTTTTACTGAAATCATTCATCCAAATGTGAAAGTGAAATACAGATAATTGATATATTGGTGTATCGTCAATGTTTATAATCCGATATTGATATAACGATGATATGCCTTTAACTGAAACAATGACAGCTCTATAAGCAAGTGACCTTGACCTTGCTCCCAGATATCTAAGTAGCAATCCCAAGCTGCATCTTAATATAAGCTACCCACACAGCAAGTTTGGTGTCAATAGGTCAAAGCAAAACTCAATTTATTACGTGAAAGCTGAATTTCTTTTTTTAAGCAACAGTGACCTTGACCTTGTTCACAGACACCTTGGTAACAATCCCAAGTTGCATCTTGATATAAGCTATCCACATACTAAATTTGGTGTCAATAGGTCTAAGCACAATAGGTCTAAGCAAAACCAAGTTATTATGCTGAATTTCTGTTTTTGAGCAATAATACGAGGTATGATCAAAAAGTTCTCGGCCCAATATACTTCTAGCCACTACACTGACATTTACACACAATAAGTCGATACCAATATCTTATTGAAGATTACTGACTGAGTTACACGCGGTTTTACTCAGATTAAGACACACTTTGATCAGTAGATGGGTGTGTCATTTAAACCAAATGGAGAAAGTTGAAATCAGAGCCATCATTAAGTACCTCTATAAGAAAGGGTTGTCCCCCAAGGAAATCCATGAAGATTTCATGAATACACTTGGGAAGGAGTCCCCTTCCTATAGCATTGTGCAAAAATGGGCTGCTGAATTTAAGAGGGAGTGGCCTGGGCAGCCAAAAGAGGCCACCAATGATGAAACTGCCAAAGCTGTGCACGATCTGGTCATGTGCGACAGAAGGCCAGACCTGCGAAGCATTGCTAGGGAAGTGGGTATATGCTTTGGTTCAGTTCAGGCAATTCTGACTGATGTCTATGGCATGCCAAAGGTTTCCACTAGATTGGTCCCCAGACAGTTGACTGACAACCAGAAACGGACTTGCCCCCCTCTGACTTCTACCTGTTTCTAAAACTGATAACCAAGACGTTTTGGAAGCAATGAAGGTGTCATGGAGGCGGTCAATGAGTTCTTTGAGGACCAAAATAGAGAGTTCTATTTTGAAGGGTTAAACAAGTTGGAGCACAGGTGGGCAAAGTACATTGATGTAGAGGGCAATTATATTGAAAAGTAAGACCATTACTTGGGTTCTCATCTACAGGAAGTACATTGGGCCAAGAACTTTTTATCAATCCTCGCAACATTGACATTGGTCACAGACATCTGGGTAGCAATCCTGAGTTGCGTCTTGATATAAGCTACCCACAAACCAAATTTGCAGTCAATAGGTCACAACTAACTGAAGGAATTATGTGGAAACTGAATATCTTTTTTAGCAACAGTGACCTTGACCTTCATCATATTCACCAGGATAGTAGGATAGTAATCCTGAGTAGCGTCTTGGTATAAGCTACCCTCATACTGCTTGGAAGCAAAGTGAAGTTATTAAGTGGAAACTTGATTTGGTGTAAATAGGTCTCAGCAAACTCAAGTTATTGACTGGAAACTGAATTTCTATTGTTGGCAACAGTGGCATTGACCTTAATCACAGACACCTAGGTAGCAATCCCAAGCTGCCTCTTGATATAAGCTACCCAGATACAGAGTTTGGCATCCATAGGCCAAAGCAATTGAATTTCTATTTTAACCAATAGTGACATTGACCTTGATCACAGACATCTGGACTGCCTCCCACACACTAAGTTTGGTGTATATAGGCCTAAGCAAACTCAAATTATTGAGTGGGAACTGAATTTTTATTTTTAGCAACAGTGACCTTGACCTTGATCACAGACACCATGGTAGCAATCACAAGCTGCCTCTTGTTATAAGCTACAACACACCAAGTTTGGTGTCAATAGGTCAAAGCAAACTCAAGTTATTGAGCGAAACCAAAAGTTGAAGCCCTTTCCGCCCACCTGCCTGCCTGCTTACCAGTTTTCATTGAAAACCTGGTTAAAAACCAACAGAGGTACATTTCTATCAAATACCAAAGACGTCAGTCAATGAATAAAGGCTATAAATTATAACTGAAAATGTAACAAGATTTATTAAGTATTGTTAAATATTGTTAAGGGAGATAATTAAAAAATCAAACAAGGTAGCACTTTGGATCTTAAACAGCAGACATTTTCTCTCTCCTTTCTATCACTGTTATAATGATGTGTTAATAACATTCTTTCAATACATTTCAAGTTATTTCCCAGACAAACATTATTATGAATCATAAAGGTAGATAAGTAAAATAAAAGGACCATTCAAGGTGTATTCCTGTAAAGTTTTATCACTACTGTCCAAAGGTTAAGGAAGAGATGCAGTTTAAGTAAAATGATAATGATGACTGCTGGATACCAGGCATTGGGTGATCACACTAGCTCAGCATTACCCAAGTTTAAACAAACTGAAATCTTACATTTTGATATCTATTGGTTAAGCATCCTTTAATATCAAATCTTTCTTCAAGTCGGACTGTTGGGTAAAAGATACTCTGCATCACTAGGAAGTATTTCTGAAACAAATAAATAACAGATTTAAAAAGCCTCCAATACAAGCTCAAAATAAAACATGTCCCCTTTCGCCCACCTTTCATGCATATTCAGAATAAGTAATAATTATACAAGTCACAGAGAAAGTGACAATAAATTCATGAATGAGATAGTATTTCAGTGGAGATATAACACTTCTCAAGTTTGAAGGTTGTCAATTAAATGGTGTCTCTAATTGTTAAGTGGAATAAGTTTTCAAGGTAATGGTAACACCAAAGCCCAAAAGCGGTTATTCTACTTAACAAGCATATTCCTTTTAATTGATATCCATCATCAAATTACAAACAAAATATGTACTTAACTTGTATTTTATGATTTTATAATGCTAAACCAGAGCACAAATGTTATAACAATCCATTGTCTCATCTTATTCCTAACTCTAGTTATCAACCAAAAACCAATTATCTGACTCCTAGCCTGAAACCATCTTTCTATTTTTAGTTACAGTGACCTTGACCTTGATATTACAGTCACATATAGTTCTTGATACATCATATTGACTCAAGAAATATATTCTAAACAAAAATTGACAAAATTTATGCCCCCTGCCATGATTCTTGTCTGAGTAGCAAATTTTCCAAAAAGGTTTCAAATAGATAATCTCTAAATGAAATTATATACTACATACCAATGCTCTTGGCCTTATACTTTTAGACAAAAAGATTATTTTTTTATTTTGCATTTTTGACCTACTTATGCAACTGACCAGAACCATTTAGGTAGACCCAAGGATTGTTGAGTTTGGTAAATATCCAGTTATTGGTCATTTAAAGAAATCACTGAGGACAAAAGACGCACAGATGTGTGAAAGACAGACAGTGGAAATCACAATAGCTCACCATGACCTGAAAATGGGGGTTGCAGGTAGAACTCGACAAGGTGTATACATATATAACGTTTCAATGAAATACCTTTATTAGTATTGAAGTTAATGACCATAAACAAAAAGTATCAAAAAGGTTAACAAATGCAAATGCTGATGTTGTCACCAACAAGTGGGTCATGACAATAGCTCTGAATTTTCCTCGAAAGTGGAGCACCACATGTGGTGATAACTGGAGCAAACAATAGCACAGCATATGGTGTTAACTGGAGCAAACAATAGCACAGCATATGGTGTTAACTGGAGCAAACAATAGCACAGCATATGGTGTTAACTGGAGCAAACAATAGCACCACATGTGGTGTTAACTGGAGCAAACAATAGCACCACATGTGGTGTTAACTGGAGCAAACAATAGCACCACATGTGGTGTTAACTGGAGCAAACAATAGCACCACATGTGGTGTTAACTGGAGCAAACAATAGCACCACATGTGGTGTTAACTGGAGCAAACAATAGCACCACACTGTGGTGTTAACTGGAGCAAACAAATAGATCTACATGTGGTGTTAACTGGAGCAAACAATAGCACCATATGTGGTGTTAACTGGAGCAAAACAATAGCATCACATGTGCGTGGTTAACTGGAGCAAACATAACACACATGTGGCGTATAACTGGAGCAAACAATAGCACAATGGTGGTGTTAAATGGAGCAAAACCAATAGCCTACATGTTGGTGTTAACTGGAGCAAACAATAGCACCACATGTAGTGTTAACTGGAGCAAACAATAGCACCACATGTGGTGTTAACTGGAGCAAACAATAGCACCACATGTGGTGTTAACTGGAGCAAACAATAGCACCATATGTGGTGTTAACTGGAGCAAACAATAGCATCACATGTGGTGTTCACTATCGCAAACAATAGCACCGCATGTAGTGTTAACCCTAATCTGTATAGGGCAACCACTACCAATAGTGTGTGAAGTTTCAACACATTCCCTTCAGTAAATTATGGAGATTCCAGCTTACACACAATATAACCATGATTTTTTAAGTCCAAGAAGGGGCATAAGTATGCAAAAAAACAAATTAGAGTTATTGGATTGTGCCAATCATGTTAGATAATCCCAAAGAACAAGGGTTTGAAGTTTCAATCAATTCCATTGAGTCAGTTATAAGATTCCAGCTTACATGCCAAAATTTAACCAAACATTTCTAAATTGAAAAAGGGGAATAAATATGCAAAAACAAGAGCACCCAATAGATGGGGCAATATACGCCTGAATGCAAATTTCAAGGAATTAAAATTTAAAAGTAACAAGAGCTGTCGGTAGGACAGCACGCTCGACTATTCTAAGTGCTTGATAGTAAAAGAGCCTTTTTAATGTTAAATAAGTTCACAAAAGAGCTAATTTTTTTCATAAATTCATGTTATAGGCCTTAGAGAGAGTCTAATTGATACAGTATTGGCTTGACTATTCGGAAGGTAATGTCACAAGGGTGTTGAATTGAGTAAAATAATACTAATTTACCTATGAATACATAAATTTGGACAGAAAAGGTACAAAGGCTTGTTTATTAAAGATGTTTTATCAAGTTAATCACTGCTTTATTATTATGAATGCATAAAATTGTCCCAAAAAGGTACAAAAACCCTTCAGTAGTTTATTGAGATAACAGCTTACAAGCAAAACTTTACCATGAATTTTAATGTTGAAAAAGGGGAGAAAAATCAGCCTAAATGCAAGATAGAATTATTGATCATTGTCAGTGACCTACAATTATTACCCTAAATGCATATGTGAAGTTTTTAAATAAATATCTTAATAGTTATTGAGATATGTAAAACTATTACATGTTAACATTAACCAAGAGGACTAAGTAGAAAAGGGGATATGAATCAGCCTTAATGCAAGATAGAGTTATGGAACTTGGTCAGTTGACACACAATTATGACCCTCCAATTAATGACCCTAAGTGCATGTGTAAAGTTTCAAGTAAATATCTTTGAAGACCTTTAACCAAAATTTCTAAGTTTCAAAGGGGCAAAAAATTCTGCAAATATTGCAGGCAGAGTTATGAAATTTTGCAAAACTGATATACATTGTTACTATAAAAGAGTATTTTAAATTTCAATTGAATATCTCAAGCAATAATTTAAGATATTTGACTTTTACAAAAAAAAACTTTAACCCAAATTTCTAAGTTAAAAAGGGGCATAATTCTGTCAATATTGTAGGCAGAGTTATCCAACTTGTCAATCTGATGTACCTTTGTTACTATAAATAAGTATTGTAAGTTTCAACTGAATATCTCAGCAATAACTGAGATTATATTGACTTTACTAAAAAACTTTAACCAAAATTTCTAAAGTTAAAAAGGGGCATAATTTCTGTCAATATTGTAGGGCAGAGTTATCCAACTTGTCAAACTGATGTACCTTGTTACTATAAATAAGTATTGTAAAGTTTCAATTGAATATCTCAAGCAGTAATTGAGATATTTGACTTTATAAAAAACTTTAACACAAACAGCAGACGCCGACGCGGACGCTGACGCCGACGCCGACGCCGGGGCGACTAGAATAGCTCTCATATTCTTCGAATAGTCGAGCTAATAAAAAATATATTTAAATTGGAGAGGAGATCTCGTGTTTTCCAGTCAGAGCGGAAGTTCATTTGTTTATTTAATGGAAGTTTAGTTTCACCAACATATTGTTTGTTGCACACTTTGCAAGAAATAAGGTAAATAATGTTTGCCGTTTTACAACTCATTATGTCTTCGCCAAAAATGGCAATGCCGCCAGGACTATAACAATACCTCTACTTTTTTTTTTCAAAAAAAAAGTCGAGCTAAAAAAAAAAAAATGCTGACAAATGGATGTCTGCAATAGCTTGCATATTTTTGATAAAGATGCGCTAAAAATGAAAAAGTCCCCATATGACCTTAACAAAGAAATAATACTTGTAATTTACCTTTCTAGATCTAGATTTCTTAACTGAATACAGCCCAAGAAATTTCACCAACATAGAATGTGGATAAGTATGAAAATGGTCTAGATAATCTCTGAAAGAAAGAAAAATGTTGAATTATTAGCTCATTTAAATTTGGTATAAAATTGTAGCAAAGTATACAAAATAGTCATTAAAGATCACAATTTGATACTTGACGTAAACTTGATCCCTCTGATGTTTGGGACAGTTGCTGGATTATCATCAATTTTGTTCAGGTCCAAAAGGCATGCCAAATATTTAAACTCTGGGCATTGTAGTTTCACACAAGACTTAAATGTGTTTTTCTTAAAGTCAATATAAATCAATTGATCTGAGCAAGCTTAAATATGGGTTCTGCACATTGTCTCATTATAAGTTTGTTTTGTTTGATTGGGTTTTATGTGACACCGACACAGTATAGGTCATATGGCGATGTTCCAGCTTTACTAGAAGATGCCCTTCCATGCATTATTTCAGGCACGAACAGGCACCTGAGTAGCACCACCGATGTCCCATAAGCTAGCTGGATAGCTTCCTCACATGAAAGAATCCAAACTCCCTGTTGGGATTCGAAACCACAGCGGTGAGGGGAAAGTGGTTTGAAGTCAACAACCTTAACCACTCTGCCACAGATGCCCCTCTCATTATAAGTAACATTTCTGCCAAATAGTTTCAATTTCCTTGTATCACACGGGGGTGAAACCTTAAATGGATCTCAAAATTGAGCATCAGTTAAAAATATATGTGAATTTCCGCTGATCCAGATGTGCACTTTAACTCGATATGTGAAGGAGAAAATAGGTAAATAACAGGGCAAGTTTTCAACATTTTAAACATTTATATAAAATTCAAAGCTTTTTTAAAGAAAATTGAAAAGTTCATTATGTTCAAGTTTAAAGACAATCCATTCAAAAATAACTAGAACTATCACTAAATGTGATTAATACCCTCACAAGACTGCTTTGGAAATGAGGAAGTTACAAGTAACAGAATACCTTGCAAAAGAACTGAAATAGAGTTATGGTTGTGGGCAATTAAAGATAGTTGTAGTTCTTGTATGTTGCATTTCCTTTCAATGTGGTTGACCATTGATGAAGTTTTATTGAATTACTTTGTAATTACTTTTGTCCAAAAAGAGTTACGCTTTTGAGCACTGCACTTCCTCTCATTGTGCTTGACCATTGAATGAAGTTTCATTGAATTCTAAACATTAGTTTTTAAGTTATGCACCTGACAAGGAAAGGGAACAAAGGGAAATAACTCTACAAATACTGAAGATGGAGTTATGGTTATTGTACACTGCACTTCCTCTCATTGCGCTTTATCATTGCATGAAGTTGTATTGAATTCCAACTACTAAGTTTTCAAAGTTATGCACTGAACAAAACATGTAACAAAGGGCAATAACTGTAATTAGTCCAAAATAGAGTTATGGTTCTTGTGCACTGCACTTCATCTCACTGCCCTTGACCATTGAATGAAGTTGTTTTGAATTCCAACCATTAATTTTCAAGTTATGCACTGGACAATAAAAAGTAACAAAGGGCAAAAAACTCTTGAGTCAAGAAAGAGTTATGGTTTCTGTGCACTGCCCTTCTTCTCAATATACCTGACCATTGTATGAAATTGTATTGAATTCCAACTAGCAGTTTTCAAGTTATGCTCTGGACAAGAAACAAGAGCCGGTTGAACCGGGTGATGCTCCCCGACTAGGATTTGGACACAGAAAAGTATATCTTTTGTAGTTTCAGGGTTATGTCCCAGACATTTCAGTTCAAAGTGTGATAATTCCAAAATAGTTGTAAAATCCTACTTCAAATAACGACGTTATGGGCCGGACACAATTTTGCTTCAAGGTCATGCTGTGACCTTGACCTTCAAGGTAGCGACCCAAATGTTGCGAGCGACACATCATCTCAATATGGTGATCATTTCTGTTAAATAGTTGTAAAATCCGACTTCAAATAACGAAGTTATGGGCCGGACACGATTTTGCTTCAAGGTCATGCTGCGAACTTGACCTTTAAGGTAGTGACCCAAATGTTGTGTGCAACACGTCGTCTCAATATGGTAATCATTTCTGTAAAATAGTTGTAAAATCCGACGTCAAATAACCAAGTTATGGGCCGGACACAATTTTTGTTCAAGGTCATGCTATGACCTTGACCTTCAAAGTAACGACCCAAATATTGCGCGCGACACATCGTCTCAATATCATGATCATTACTGTGAAATAGTTTTAAAATCCGACTTCAAATAACCAAGTTATGGGCCGGACACGATTTTTGTTCAAGGTCATGCTGTGACCTTGACCTTCAAGGTAGCGACCCAAATGTTAGGCGCGACACATCGTCTAAATATGGTGATCATTTCTGTGAAATAGTTTTAAAATCCAACTTTAAATAACCTAGTTATGGGCCGACACGATTTTTGTTCAAGGTCACGGTGTGACCTTGAGCTTCAAGGTAGCGACCCAAATGTTGTGCACGACACGTCGCCTCAATATGGTGATCATTTCTGTGAAATAGTTTTAAAATCCGACTTCAAATAACCAAGTCATACTGTGACTTCAAATCCGACTTCAAATAACAAAGTTATGTGCCGGACACGAATTCGGGACGTACGTACGGACAGACAACCCGACAACTATATGCTCCCCCGAAATTTTTCGGGGAGCATAAAAAGCAATGGAAAAGTAACAAAGGGCAATTATCTATAATTACTCTGGACAGAGTTATGGTTCTTGTGCACTCCACTTTCTAAATAGTAAAGATACAAAGTTTTTTTTTAAAGAACATATCCATTGTGAACAGGCATTTACGCTTAGCACCGGCAAATTATTGATCGATGTACCTTTATCAGGTGGCGAGACAAGATAATTATTGAAGCGTTTATATATGGTTGACTGGGAGTTTTCGATCCTTTAAGGTCCGTGATATATACTATGAATTGCCAAAGTTACACAAAGATAATTTTGATTCTAATATTTGTTCACAATTTGTTAAAATGAGAGGAAAATTTATATACTGACCTTAGGATAGAAAGAAATAATTGCACACATTTTTGCTCGTCTGTCTTCAGTATGAATCTTGGATTATTACTGTTATAACAAAAACATTGCCATATAATACACTCTGCCAAAACTTTTTACTATTATAATATAACTCTACATAAATTTATAAACATAACGTTAAATATCTTAAATACTGAACATTATAGAGTGAATAGAGAAAATAGTTAGCCACAGGTCACAGAGTATATGTTTTAATTACTTTAATATTGATCAAAATTGGATATTAATAGAGGATCTGTTCTCAATAACATACTTTTTCGTTTCTTTGGAAAGCTGAGGGGATAGACTGAAAATTAGTTTTGGTCTGCTTCCTTTCAGGCTTTCACAAAGGAAAAACATTACAGTTCTTAGTGTTTACACATGTCTAATGTGTGCTCTAGACTGAGTATGTGTATAGTATTCATTTTGATGTGTGGAAATAGACAAACTGGATACAAGCACAAAGCACAATAATATCAATAATAGAATAGTAATTTTAAATGTATGATATAGGGCAGAAGAGAAAGATAAGATCAATATAGCATGTTCTCGCATTGCGCAATAAATATATTTTCTCAAATAAAAGAGGAGTAACAATAAAAATTTGTTGTTTTAGAAATAAATTTTTAGGTGATGATGGTATACTAGATTTTGGTAGAAGTTCAAAGTATCAGGTTTACAGTGATCTCAATCTCTTAATAGTGCAGAATAGTGGAGGTGGCCTAAGTGACCATGAGCATTATAGCAAAACTTTTTATATAACTGTGTATTGTAAAAGATTTAAGATCAACAAAACTAAAAGTGTGCACCTTCAAGCGTCAATTGTACCTCATATAAGGTAATCACATGAATCTTAAACTATTTATTTTATCATTCCAATATACAAATGTAAAAAATTATTCAACTATTAGATGAATATATATAAGTGGCATTATCATATCATTTGGAACCATGTGAACCCCCACACTCCCATCCAATACCTGAAGAGACCACCGTACACATGTTCAATGCTCTTCCTATAAGTGAAAATATAATACTTACCTTGTAGTCTTGGAGACGATCAGGGTAAAAAAAAAACAAAAAAAGTGTATAAAATCTATTGTTAGCACAAGCGACAATGACCTTGTGACTCCCAGCACTGGACCATCCAGAGGGTGATTTTCCTTACCAAAAGTATGAAAAACTCACATCTGTGTCTTTTAAATAGAAAGCGTGGTTATTAAGCCAAATGTGTTGTTGTAAAAGAGATTCTCTTATTTTGTGCATAGTCACCTAACTTTACAGTTGACACACTGACCCCTTACTAAATCCAAAGGAATGAGATTACTATCTGTAGATACTATTACTACCTGATTATTCGTCTCACAGATATCATCTTGTGCACAAAAAAAGCTCCATGCGACCTTTACCCAATGCTGTATCCCCTAACTCAATCTCAAACAGATGAAAGAATTCAAATTAATTGTTATTCGGCTCTTACCAAAATATATTATAAATAGACACATGTCGCTTAATTCTAAGAATTAGGTTAATACTACTCTGTTCATTTGTTATTGTATACACCACCTATGATTAGTAACTTTGTGTATATGGATAATGAACACTAATGTGAACTCCTATTGACCATAAAATACGATATGGTCGACTACTTCCATTATAAACTAAACCAAAAAGGGAAGAGGTTCAGCTTCCGCTGACGCATTTTTTTGGTATGTGTGAATTTCATGAAACACCATCAATAAAAAGTAAAGGCTCTACTGAGCCAAAAAAAATGTTTCATTCATTTTTTATACCAGTGACCTTGACCCTAGAGACCCCTAACTCAAATAAAGCAATGATAGAAAGTTTGAGCCGCAATTTCCATGTTGTCCATATGAGGTATATCTACCTATAATCCAACATATGAAAGATTTAATATTAAATAAATGAAGTAATTTTGTTTTTTGTATTCGATAACAGTTGTGTGAAAATATATGAATGCACACTCTATTTATATAAGAACATATTAGTCATTATAGACATTTGCAACTTGCTGTGTTTTTGCATAATGACCTCAATATTCATTTTCGCAAAGGTGCTTGAAAAGGGTCGCAGATTAAGTGTCACGCAGTCTTGTTATAATAAAGTAGAGGAAAAAACAGAGTTTACCATTCACACCAGGTATGTTCTGACACTCTCTGGTCGCTAAGATTCAAATAAGGGATACTTTACCCATGTGCATAAATGATTAAGTGTGTAAATTATTGCGAATTTGTAATGACTGCTTAGTAGCATCTACAAAATGTTTAGTCGTCATTATTCATGATTAGATCAAGCTCTTTAAGAAAAAATCTACAACACTCGACATCGTTCTTTATTTCATGTCGCGCAAATTTAAGCAAGCTCTTACGTATAACAAACAGATGTCAAACGTGCTATCAAGTTATCCGATTTGCCTTCAGGAAAGGTATTGTGAAACATTTACTAATAGAAGATAAACTTTTATATTTCCCATAGGATTTTGGATAATAAACAATGTTTCGCGTATAAGAACGTTAAATAAATAAAATTTACCACGGCTGTCAGGTTGTGTGGTTTTAAAATTTTAGCTAACTGGAATTTTTGATAAAATGTTGTTAACTTATTCTCAAATATATATACATGTATAAAGAAAGTGGGAAAAAGTGATGACACATTTCGCAACCAATTGTAGCTCCAACCTCAATAATAGAAGAGCATTCTGTGTCTTCACAACGATATTGCACACCAGACCCTGACCCCTCCAGGATTATTAAGTGGTGGTGGGTGTGTTTGTAGCATATGTGTTTTTCGCACTCAAGATGCCACATAATTAGACCTACAGCCACACAGTCTAACCTCCGCCTTACTGTTTTTTAGTATATGTAACATTTATTCATGAAATCATTAGTGTATATAGGTCATATATTTATAATTGCAAAATGTACACACTTTATTGAAATACACAAAAAAGAATAGTTATTATAGTAAAAAAACTTTTTAAAGAGAGTAACAATATCATATTAACTAACCTTCAAAAAAAAAGGTAAATAATAAAAATATAATATAGGAATAATAATAAAAGACTCATAAGGCAAATATACAGTATAATATATAAGATTAAATATAGAAATTATTTTATAATTAAAAATAAAAACCCAAATCAAAACCAACAAAAACAAAATAAATACCAAAAATGAGAATAACAAAAAAAAATATTTAATAAAAAAAAAAAGATATAAAAAAGTAAAAAAATAACGGACAAGCTTTCCCAACAATATACAATGCTAGGAATGAGAATCCATGGTAAGTGCTTGATAAACTTACGCGGTCATGTGAGGGATAACTTGACAAAAAAATAAGGTTGTCTCTCCCCTTGCTTGGCAAAAAATTCTTGCACAGTGTAAAGGGCTTCATCTTATCATTATAAGTACATTATGGCATCTCTTTATTGACGGTTTAAAACTGTTTGTTCCTCTACATGTATTATTTAATGCACAAACAGACACTCAAGAAAGCCCAAAAATAACATAATATCAAAGTTTCCAAATTAGTTACCATTTTCAAAAGAAAATAAATTGGGAAAGAGAAATAAAAATACCTGAAATAGAAGTCTTGCCCACTACGAGAGTTGCTAATAAATTCCAAGTAGGGAAGATCTTTAGGTGATAAACTTGCTAAAAAATCTTCTTCACTAATGCTGACTGCTGATCTTACACAGGCAAACACTGGACTTGCATAACTAGTAAATTGATATGTCTGCAAACAAAATAATACTTTATTGATTATCATTTTTTCTTCTTCTCATGTTACACAGATGTGGCATAGATCATATGTTGACTTTCCAACAATAATTGATACCTTTTTGTTTTTTAAACAGGCGTCAGCAGACATTAATCTTCCATGATCAAGATATCATTGTACTGGTATGTTAAAATAAATCTACCATAACATATCTTTTTCTATTCAAATAAACTACTTATCTGATGCTTCAAATATACATGGTTAACTGAACCTTCAAAATAAAAATTATTAAATATAAAACAACAAGGCGAATTAACAAGAAACTTTGTATGTAGATAGATCTCATTGAGTAGAAGTGCAGTGCAAAAGAAGTGTAACTCTACCTTTCCTAATTTTGGAGTTAATGCCCTTTGTTTGTTTTTACACTTTGAACTTTGTCTGTGACAAATCTCAGGGAGTGTATTGACCTTACAGAAGTCATGAAAACTTCAAAACCAAACTTTAATTTATCTTACTGATGTAGGACAAATACAAATGCAATTCAAAAGCATTTGGAAACATAGGACACGGGTGCCCCAACACGCCACTGTTCAGTCAATCTTATGACTCTAGGTCAAATATTTTTTGGACTACATGTGCCACAAGTTGAAAACTAAAAATCTTTTACGAAGTAAAGGGCAAGAACTTTACAAATACTGAATAAATCTACAAGCAATCCCCAAGGTGCATAAGTACACATGTTGACCAACATTCTTGTAAACTTTCAGGCCTACAAGTCAAATACATTATGAGCTATGCATGAACAAGTTGAAAATTGCAAATTTATACTACTGTAAGTCATGGGCAATAACTTAAACAAAACTGAAAAAAATCCACATGCAAAGTCCCAGGTGCATAGCTTCACAGTGATGTTGATCATTATTCCTGTAATTTAGTGATGTTGATCATTATTCCTGTAAAGTTGGTTGATTCTAACTCAAGCACTCAAGGAACAAATAACACAACATAATGAAACGGTTTTTACAAAGTCAAGGGCAATAACTCTAAAAATACTGGATAAATCCACAAGGGAAACCCAAGGTGCACAACTACAGATTCTGAGCAAATTTTCCGTAAGGTTGAATCTATGTCAAATCCTTTTGAGTTACATGCGAAATAAGTTGAAAGTTGCAAATTTTTACTAAGTCAAGGGCAATAACTCTAAAAGTACTGAATAAATCCACACGAAAATACCCAGATGCACAACTACACATGCTGATCAACATTCCTGTAAAGTTTCATGACTCTATGTCAAATCCTTTTTGAGTTACATGCGACACAAGTTGAAAATTGCAAATTTTTACTAAGTCAAGGGCAATAACTCTAAAAGAACTGAATAAATCCACACGAAAATACCCAGATGCACAACTGCACATGCTGATCAACATTCCTGTAAAGTTTCATGACTCTATGACAAATCCTTTTTGAGTTACATGCGACACAAGTTGAAAATTGCAAATTTTTACTAAGTCAAGGGCAATAACTCTACAAATACTGAATAAATCCACACGAAAATACCCAGGTGCACAACTACACAAGCTGAGCAACATTCTTGTAAGGTTTCATGACTCTAGGTCAAATACTTTTTGAGTTACGTGCGACACAAAAGAGAACGAACGGATGGACAAACGGTAAATCTAAATGCCCCCCACCCCAAAGTGGGGACACAAAAATCTATATACTACTGCATTCTCCCTATGTGCAAAATTATTAACTATTAAGCATGTTTTTCTGACAATTTTTGTAGGGGGTATTCAGCACTTGTGACAATTTCTAGTGTTTGACCAAGAAAACATTCTTAAAGTCCTCAAAAATCCCTATAGTTCCGTAATTTATTTGTGCATCAAATCAGGTGTTTCATGTATTTTCACCTTTTTTGTGGGTATCTATTATGTATAAAGGTCAGCTTATTATACAAGAAAATCAATTCAGAACTAAAGGAGATTATATTTTAAGCCCTAATGATATAAAGAAGATCAATTATAAGTAAAATCATCTTTTTTTTTATACAATATATACATAATATAACATAATATACTTGAAGCAGCAGCTGCAATGTTATAGACATCAAACAATTAAAAAAATATGTTTAATCATAAAATGTTACATATTTTGTATATAATTTATTTCAGTTGAAACAGATGATAGGATCTCTTTTTGAATATATCCTGTATTATGAATGATCGTTTTCAAAGGGCTACTACAGATAAATACTAAAACTAGAAATGTGTCCATAGGACATGGGTGCCCCCACATTGCACATTTTGAGCAAAATTCCCGTAAGGTTTCATGACTCTATGTCAAATCCTTTTGAGTTACATGCGAAATAAGTTGAAAATTGCAAATTTTTACTAAGTCATTTGACACAGCAATTAGGTATGATTAAAACTTGTATTACTGTATTTCTAGCACAAACTTGATATTATGATAATGTAAGACATAAATGTCATTATGTATGCTGAAAATAATGTTCAACATGTTACCATACCTTGCCTTTATTTGATGTTATGCTAAACTTGATCTTTTGATTAAAATCTTCTGAATGTAGCTCATCCTGGAAACAATAAACATGTATGTAGAAATTAAACTACATGTATTCTTAAAACTATGAGTATGTAAAACCAAAATCAAATACCAAATAAAACTGCTTCATAAAATTCTAACAGCTTGGCTGTAACCTTAAAAAATTATCAGTTGATATTTCTACTACAGAAATTTCCATAGCAATACCTGCAGGCATCAGTTTTATTTTCTATCAATATTGCCTCCCTGATATCAAAGTTAAGCGTTATTAAATGTCATATGATCCTTGCATGATTTACATTTCAATGGAAAAACAGAAACAAGAGGGCCATTATGGCCATTATATCCCTCATCTGATTATTAAAGCTCTGAATTTATATTGATAGCAATGAATGAAAGGCAGATATAATGCCATGAACTTATTTTAATAAACTGATATTATAACATTCATATCTGCACCTGAAATTGGGCAAATGTTAATAAGGTTTTTTCATATATGCCTTTTTATGTGCTTTGACCTTTTTTGGCCTCAGATGACCCTTATTCAAACCTGACGTGGAAATAATTCAAACAACCTTTCTGACCAATGTCCAGGATATTTGGGCTAAAACTGTAACCTCTAGAGTGATAACAAGTTTTTCCATTTTTGGTCTGTGTGACCTAATTTTTGACCCCAAATGACCCATATTCAAACAAGGATAAGTAACCATCTAAACAACCTTTCTGACTAATTTCCATGATATTTGGACCTTAACAGTATCTTCTACAGTGTTGTTTGGGCTGTGTAACCTAGTTTTTGACCACAGATGAACTATATTTGAACTTGAGCTAGAAATCATACAAACAACCTTTCTGACCTATTTCCAGGATATGTGGACAGTAGCCTCTAAAGTCTTAATGAGGTTTTTCAATATTTGGGCTATATGACCTACTTTTTGAGCAAAGATGACCCATATTTGAACTTGAGCTAGAAACATCAGAACAACCTTTCTAACCAATATCCATGTACAGTCAACTATCGTTATCTCGACATCGCTTTTCTCGATATTTCGTTTATTATAATAATATCTCGATGAAATTTTGAAAGTCCCGATTTTCTTCCTTCTTTATCTATATTGGAAATATTTGTTTATTTCGATATTTTTATTTTGATATTTTCAGTATCTCGATGTAAAATTTCAGCCCCGACAGTAATTTTCACGCTATTATCCTTTCTTTATCTCGACTAATCATTTTTCGTCTCTCGCACGAGAGGTGTGAAAAACACAAACCAGACGATAATCACTTAATAGCAAGTGTCAAAATGATGACTGTGTTTGCTGGTGTTTGTAACAAGTCGAGCTTTGTTTATAAAAGTTTACCTAATTAACGTATTGATTGACTTATGTCCTAAATGAGTGAATCTTCCGCAATGTTTAAAATATTCGAAATTCATTGTGACTTAAGATGTAAATGAAAAAGTGTTCAGGATAGAAACATTATCGATGCAATATTGTTTTACAACATCGAAAAAATCAAACAGCGGTAGAAATATCTCGAGAATGGTCCGATAACCAACCCAGAAGGATATCTAGATCGACCACGCTGAAAACGTTTTAACTATAGTGGTGTATTACTGAGTAAACCTCACTATGTGTTTTTATCACAGACTTCCATATTTCCGCTGGTAAACATCCCCTAATTTAACGAATCATACTTTTAATTTATTTGACCCAAGGTATGCCTTTATAAAAGTCAGTTACTGCCTTTTTCAAACCTTATACGTTTATCTCGACATTTCGTTATCTCTATATTTTTTGGACGGTCCCCATGACTTCGAGATAACGAGAGTCGACTGTATTTGGACCAAAACAGTAGCATCTAAAGTGTTAACAATGTTTTTCCATGTTTGGGCTGTATGACCTAGTTTTCGACCCCAGATGACCCATATTCTAAAAACCCCTAGAAATCCTCAAATCAACCTTTCTCGCCAATTTCCAGGATATTTGGACTGAAACAGCAGTCCCTAGAGTGTTTTTCCATATTTGGAAACCTATTACCCCCCGAGGTGGGGTCAATTTTGACACTAGAGAAAAACTTTTAACACCTTTGTTAGAGAACATAAAGATGATATTATTTACCAAATATCAAAGCTCTAAGCTTTAAATTTTCTGAGGAGAAGATTTTTTAAGTTTTTACTACATTGTATATGAACAAAATGACAAGAGGGCCAACAGGGCCCTGGAAATAGGTCAAAAGGTCATAGTGGAGTCCCTTTCACCCCAGAAGCACAATTTGAAACAAGGGACAGCTTAATCTAAACAATTTTTGAACACTGACACCAAGGAAACTTTTGTGTAAAATTTTATCAAAATTGAACCAGTGGTTAAGATGTTGTTTAAATGTGTTTTTTTTTCTTTCTAATTTTAGAGGACAACTAGATGACCTTACATATCAAATATCAAAGTACAAGGTATTTTGAACATTGAGAAGAATTTTAAGAGTTTTATAAATAACTAAAAAACTAATTAGGCCTCTGGTGGGCTCCTTTTGATCCCAGGGGAATAAAAATTGTACAATTTTCACAAAGGACCACTGTAATATGTAATATACCAAATATCAAAGCTCTAGGCCTATCTCAAAGTAAAATTGATGACTTCCTAGAGAGGCCGCTTTTAACCCTTGAAGCATAATGTAAAGGACCACTAGATGATGCAACATACCACATATCAAGATTTGTACATTTTGACAAGATTTTTTTCAAGATATTCCTTAACAACTCTATATAAAACTGATAAGCCCCCCTGGCGGCCCCTTTTGACTCTAGAGACATAATTTGAACAATCTTTGTAGAGTACCACTACTAAATATCAAGGCTCTAGGGTCTTGTAGATTTTAACAAGATTTTTCAAGATTCTTTTTATAAAAATTGATAAGCCCCCTGGCTGGGCCCCTTTTCATCCTAGGGGCATTATTTGAACAATCTTTGCAGAGGACCACTCGATCATGTTACATACCAAATATCAAGGCTCTATGACTAGTGGATTTTGACAAGAAAATTTTTTAAGATTTCCCTATATAACTTTATATAAAACTGAGGAGCCCCTCCCCTGGCAGGGCCCCTTTTGACCCTAGGACCATAATATGAACAAGAGGGCCATGATGGCCTTAATATTGCTCACCTGATTATTGAGGCTCTCAATTAATATTGTTACCATGAATGAAAAGCAGATATAATGCCATAAACTTAAACTGATATCATTTTAGTAGAGCTTCATGCTAAGAACATCCCAGGAAAATTTCATCAAATTTGGCCCAGTGGTTTCTGAGAAGTTGTTTGTAAAAAAAATTGGCAACGGACACATGGAAGCACAGACGGATGATGGACGCCGGACAAATTGTGATCACAAAAGCTACCCTTAAGCACCTTTTTCATCCTAGGGGCATTATTTGAACAATCTTTGTAGAGGACCACTAGATAATAATTATAAACTTAAACAGTAGGTTTTGAGAAATGCAGAATATAAAGTTTGATAAATTTTTATACGTTTATTTCTGTTAGCGCTTTAAATGCTTAAATAAAGTCTGTATGAGCCTAAAGTGTAAAAGACTACTTTTAGCACTGCTGACCTTGATCCAACTGACCCCTAACTCTATCAACAGTTAGCAGACTTCTAAATTTAAGTTCCTACCAAATATTAAAGACATCTGTCAATAGATAAAGGTTACACTTGTAAAACTGTAAAAATCTATTTTTGGCATTGGTGATCTTGACTTTGACCCAAATGACCCATACCCAAACCAGAAGGAAGACCTCCCTCAGCATGTCCCTATTAATTTTTTTTAATTAATTTCTGACCTTAGATTCACCCTCCGGATGCTCTGTAAGGAGTTTCCTGATAGCTTTTTGTATGGCACTCAGCATGTCATGATGGGGGTGAGCTTTGCTCACTTCAACCACCCCCCTCCGTTTTAATTTTTTTCTCACATAGTCCCAGCGACTGTGTACATGGAGTAACTCTGTCACCTTATTATCTTCAACTCTAGACATTGTTACAATCAGTATTCACACCATTATTTCTGAAGCCAAAAAAACAAAACAAAAACAACATCATTATATTAAGATAGTCAATTGTATATAATAACACATATTTTATACTATATCTATACATATTACTTGTACTCTCTTGGTTTTTTCCAGCTCAATAAAATGATTTAGTATCCTAATTACTCTCAAAAAGAACATGATGTTTTTATAATTTTATTTAACTCCAAACTTACCAACAAATTTCAAACAAACAAGCTACTGCACTTAGCCACATACACAAATACTATTAAATAACATGACAGATAAAAGTACATGTACTGCTATATCATATAAGCTAATACGTTATATATCTGACAGGAGTGTTTTGAGCAATATGCTGCATATGAACTCAAAGGAAATATCTGTCAACAATTTCATTTTACATGTTTTTAGTGTCCATTGTTAAGAGATTATGTTTGGAAAGGAAGTTTTTTACCATGAGCATCATAAAGAAAGGTTAATGTGAGTCACAAGTTTAAGACCTTAAACAATACTATCAGGAAAAAATAGCTATTTTGAAATCATATAATAGAAATAATTTTCCTTAACATAAAATAGTAAAATATCAACTGCCCTGATGATATAAGGTCACAAACAGAGCTTATTGACAAACACTTGTCCAGAGCAAAACTTCTACATTATAGGGGGTTTGTAATATAACTTGGCAAAAATGTTCACCACTGTGAGACATCAGTTTATAAATAAAGCCTGCATAAGCAAAAATGTAAAGTTTTATTTTATGCATCAGTGACCTTGACCCCAGTGACTCAAACTCCACCAATAGTTAGGGGACCATTAAAGGTATCCACCTACCACATAAAGAAGAAATTATTAAATAAGTGAAGTTATTAGGAGAAATTTAATAAACTTTAATCAAACTTTGCCAGAATAGGTTAACCATTTTACCTTTATAACAAGGCCCTATTTTCAGAGATAATATAACTGGAAACAAAAGCCACCACCGGGCAGGGACAAAGCTTGACTTCTTTACTTTTTCTAACAGTAAACAAATAAACAGATCAAACAAATCTTTGATAAGAAAATTAGAGATAAAAAAAAGTTTTCTATAAATATAACTTATTATATATTCAAGTAATTAAATAACGTTACCATGTACCATGAGAAATCAATGAACAACAAGTAAAAAATAAGCAATATTACTTTACATGTATATAAAGTGCAAGTAAAACATCATAGTTTACCTGTAAAATAACCTCAAACGTTTCACAATTATAGCCTTTTACATTACTCTATATAAACTATACTAGATAAAATGTTTTGTCATTTCTATATACTAGAGACAATTCAAATTTGTTGAGAAAATGAAAATTGATCAATACAGTCATATGGTTCTCTAGTTAATACAGCTGTTTCAGACAGCTTTCACATATTATCATTTTACCTATAAACTCGGAACAGAATAAACACATATTTCACAATAAAATACTAACTCACTGAAAACAAGAGGGGCTTTTATGTCTTAGATACAATTGTGAAAACATTTTGACAAAGTTCATTAAATCCAAGGATTTTAATAATTATATATATGAAAGAAAGAAAGTCATGAGATAAATCACTGCATGTATATACTTTTTTCTTCTGTGTATATATATCATAAAATCTTCTGTGTATATATATAACAAGAATTTGTAACAGAGTTACCAACGTCCCCCGCCCCGGGAGTTTTATATGAAGCATAAAATTGTGCTATTTCAAAAGATTGAGGTATGGACCTCAGGACATTCAGTCCAAAATTATGATCAATGCTAGATCTGCAAATGTAACAATAAATTTGTTAAAAAAATAAAATGAAACACGGAATTTAAAAATCTATCATGTTAAGCTTTGACCTCTAAGTGTGAACTTGACCTTGGAGGTAGACGGGAGCAGGTGTTGTGCATGACATAACGTTGCTTATTATTGTGACTTTTTTGTGCCAAGTTATTTCAAAATCCCTTGAACTATGAAGAAGTTCTAGATTAACCCAAAATATACCCTATAAACAGACTATGTTAATTTTTGACCTCTAAGTGTGACCTTGACCTTGGAGTAGGGATGCAGGTGTTGCGCATGACACATCCTCTATTATAGTGACTATTTGTGCGAAGTATTTTCACAATCCTTTGATCTATGAAAAATTATAGACCTACACAAATATACCCTGTAACAGACTAATGTAAGTATTTGACCTCCAAGTGTGACCTGACCTTGGAGGTAGGTGACCGGTTTTTGGCGCATGACACATCATCTGATTATTGTTAACAATATATGGCAAGTATTTTACAAAAGTCCTTCATAGATAAGAAAGTTATGAATGGACACGACATATACCCTCAAATAGACAATGTTGACCTTGAATGAACAAGTACGACCTTGACCCTGAAGGTACGGGTCTGGTTGTTGCGCATGGACACATCGTCTTATTATAACAAACATTTGTGCCAATTATCTCAAATTCCTTGATAAATGACAAAGTTATGAACCGGACACGAAATATACCCTGTAACAAGACTATGTTAATATTGACCTCCAAGTGTGAGACCTTGACGTTGAAGGTAGGCAACTGGTTTTTGCGCATGACACATCGTCTGATTATTATGAACAATTATGGCAAGTTATTTACAAAAACCCTTCATAGATAAGAAAGTTATGGACCGGACACGAATATACCCTGTAACAGAAAATATTTAATATTTGACCTCCAAGTGTGACCTTGACCTTGAAGGTAGGTGACTGCTTTTTCCTCCATGACACATCGTCTGATAATTGTTGAACAATTATGGCAAGTATTTACAAAATCCCTTCATAGATAAGAAAGTTATGGACCGGACACGAAATATTACCCTTAACAGACTATGTAATATTTGACCTCCAAGTGTGACCTTGACCTTGAAGGTAGGTGACTGTTTTGCGCATGACACAGACAGACATATACCCTCAAATAGGCAATACTTATAACCACAGATATATATACAACGGATAGGAAGCTCTGAAAATAGACGATAGTCAGATTCAGACCCACAATCCTTTATGGGCTTCAATGATAATCGGGTTTTCCTGTTTGTCTCCGATTTTCGCGCTCTCATTAAACTTTGGCGATATCAGTGAATTATTGTTTACATAGCCGACATGGATTTTCATCAGAGAAATATTTGTGTGGAATAGTGTGTATTGTACATTTTAGAATAAATAACTATTGCTTCTTATATAAGTAGCAAATCTTCGTCTTTTTTGTCGATGGTACTCCCGGAATTTAATATGGTGGTATTTTGGCTACTTTTACCCAGGATGCATCAAATCTCGGAAAATCCCGCAACATATGATAACTTGCGTGAACACAATTCCGCCGATACCGAATTTAAGTGTGTGACGTCACAGTTTCTTCTCCATCTATATTTAGCTCCATGTTCTAACTTAATCTTATAAGCCTCTGCTAACAGAAGTGACTTCTCTTACAAACTATTGTGAGTAATCGATAAACGATTTCAAATAATAACACTTTGATGGATACCCTAAAATTATACAGATTTGATAGCAAAACTACCTAAAGTACCTACTCTTTTTATCAAGTCAAGTTTTTGAATGGATTATTATAGTTTTCTAATACAAATGGCAAACTTATAGAAAGGGGAGGCAATCAAATTAACTATAAAATATGTTTCCGTCACACAAACGAAGGTAAAGTCTGTTTCGATACAATTATGTTTGAAAATATGTCTGGCAAACATCTTTTATTTAAATATGCCCACTGATGTACAATTTTAAACAAATCCAACTTAATTTCAACAGGTTGGCATTTTGTATTTTTTGTTTCTACAACCATAATAATATATATATAAATAATGTATTCTTTGCTTTTGTATTTAGGATTTCACTTATATTAGGTGGATGTTTATTTGATATATTGGGGAAAAAAACTTGTCAACAACTCCCGGCATTAAATTACTATTTGTTTACAAGTTTAGTTTTAGTGTAGGATATATCGAAATACCCTACTGGTTGGGGACCACCAAAACCGGACAACCACCAAACCAGGACGGCCCCGAAAATGCTTAATTTAGTATTTTCTTTGTTCAGTGGTTGTCTGCACTTTTTTATCAACAATAAATGTATGTTTCTTCTAAAATTAAGTAAATAAATTTATTTCAACCTCCGTAATTAGTAATATTTTAATGTCTATTTCAAGAATGTTGGCGTTGAAATTTGGGGGTCAAGAATTTTAGCAATGCCTGACCTCATATACAGCTATAGTCATTTGCAGAGTGAAATTTAATAGAATATCCAAAGCTTCAGCATTTGTTGCTGACATATTGTATATCATGTTAAAAATCAAAAATCAGAACACCCAAGCTTTTATCTGAATTAAATCACGTCATGTACATATCTGTCCGGACACATGGTACTGTAGTGTAGACAATTTAGGTAATTTTGATGCAAACAGGACGTTTCAGCCCCAAACCAAATCGACCCCAGTGGAAAAATCGGCCCTTGGACATTTCGGCCCTTTTCCGCGAGACGTTTCGGCCCTACTATATATAGTACAGACAATTAATTAAATTAATTAACAACAATTAATTTAATTACAATTAAACAATTATGACACTTTAATTCTTTAAATAATTATTTATCATCTTTTGATCTCTTGGACCATTTAGATATACATTAATGTTTTTAAAGGTGTAACAAACAATAAAGGCAGATTAATCCTTAATTTATAAAACAAACCACTAAAACTTCTTGATTAAGAAAGTTAATTACAATTATTCCTTAGAAAACATTATTTTTTTATCTTAATTTAACTATACTATTTTTTTCAAGGTGTAACTAATTAACTGTTTATAGTTTTATGTAAGTAATATCAGAGAAAAATTCAAAAGATTTTTAAAAAAACGGTTTGCTTTAATCTCCTGATAATATTTTAATTATTATTGTTATTAAATAATGATAGATGCTAGATGTTATAAAAGTGATTGAAAGACTGAAACCAAATTATAAATGCTATGTACCTGTTATATTTATTAATTAGTTTAATCAAACAAATTGTTGACAGTGACAGAAGAATTATAGATATTATGGCTTCTGTTTTCTTTTCATTGTAAAATTACATGACCGAATGTTTCGATTTTCACGTGCATGTACATCTAACTTCCCTTACCTGATAATTAAATGTGTTAGATTTTTCAATATCAAGGAAATAATTACGAGTAGCTATTTATTGTGAGATATTTATAAACATTGAAGTTAACATTAAATGCAACAAGTATCTAATCGTTGATGGTTTTGGTAAAGATTTAATCTTACGTAAAATATATGAGAGGTATCGTAAATCTTTCAAGGTACTTGGAAATTGGCGTACTAACGTTCCACTTCATAACTATGAAATTTTAATATACCGGTTTAAAACACAGTACTTATTCTGGGGCCGATTTGGTAAAGGACCGAAATGTCTTGGGTAATTTGGGGCCGACATGTTTTGGGGCTGAAAAGTCTCGAAATCATTTTGATACCCTCGTTGTCGAGCCTCAGATATAAGACTCAATAAAATCAGAAATAAACAAACTAGTTTGTTAGTTGGGAGAAGAACCTAGCTGAACTGTGTCAAATTTTTTGGTCTGTCAGAGGTTAAAAATTATGAAATCTGTACGGAAAAATGTTCCAAAAGTGTCCGGTTGATGGTCTACGACCAGTAGCCTAATTAAAAAAATACAGTTGGAAAAAGTCCAAAATTATCTTGGTGTCACTTTGACAAGTCTAATTAGTTGGACTAGGTACCATATCCCATCCCTGTGTATTCATAATTGTTAGACTATCAAAAATGGCCGAAAAGATGCGATTGGGCTGAATGTCTGTAAAGTTGGAAAAAGTAAGAACACATGTTAATTAAGTTGGGGCCGAAACGTCTTAGGGCCGAAATGACTCCAGGCTAAAGAAAGGCACCATCAACAAAGCCAAAAAAAGTATCTTTTTTTACAGCACCACTGGAATAATGTCAGGATATAGGCATACATTTTCAAGCTTAATTATTTCAATGAAGCTTAATCTATGTAAAAAAATTTACACACCTGATTTTACCTGTTTACAATTTAAGGTAATCATCGCCGTAATTTAGTAAATAACACCGCGTCAGTTCAAATTAACTACAGTTATATCAAATTTTATTCTCTACATGTGTTTTTATAATCAAAACAATTGTTTTTTGTGTAAAACAGTAGTTAGATGTAAAAAAAAAACTTAGTTACATGATTGTTTACAAACAAAACTTTTTTCTTAAGAGAAAAAACCGTGAATTCCGAAGATGCAAAACTGTACTGTATGACTAAAATACGCAAAGTTCGGATTTTTTTCACTGCTTATCCTAAATTTTATTAATTTCATAAAGTATACATTATGAATCGTTATACTTTGGCGAATCGTTACATTACTGTCTAAGCCCCACATACCCCACATATTATAAGTTAACCAGCGGCCCAAAGTCAGATCGGCCCCAAGTCAAACCGGGACCAAAATGGTAAAGGGTCAACTCGACCCTACTGTATACCAACTCGGCACGGGTCAACTCGGCCCTCTTTTAAAAACCTATTAGAATAGGTATACATTTTTTAGATTGTTTAAGGAGTAAATCACTATAAAGTATCCAGATGTATGATCACTAACAAACAGAAATTGAAAAAGTTGGCAGTGTACATCGAGGGGTGAAAGCGAAAAGGTTCTAACTCACTTTTTTTACAAAATTCACTTTTTTATATATTTGTAACATTAACACCCATATACATCTTATGTCAAAATATATAAGATTTAGTTTACTTATAAAAGGGTGAAATGAAAAATTGTCCAAAGGTTCTAAGTGAAATTAACCTTTTCTTTAAAAGGCGAAAAGGTTCTAAATGCAAATGGCAGTTAGAACCTTTTCGCTTTCATTGAGTATAAAAAGAACAAGATTAAATAAAAACGACTCAAACTGCATTAAAATAAGTGAAATCAAAGCAATTTTGAAAGCTTAACCTTTTATTGTATATTATTAAACAATATAACATAAGAAATTCATTAGTTTCAGAGTAGATGTCTTAATTTTGGAAGAAAACTTAAGTACTTAGAACTGTTTCGCAGTTAACTCCACTCATGGAATTATTGATTTTTTAAAAGGGAAACAGTTCTAAGTGCACATGGCCAGTAATGATCATGCACCATCTTAAAGGGTTTTAAGTGCCTGTGAGAAATTGTGTGATGATATTAAAGGTAGGGCTATAGATGACAGTAAGAAATCAGATAATGTTACTGAAAGTGATGCTTTAAATAGCTGGTTGTACATAATTGAAGAAAATTTTAGCTTTAAGCTGTGGTCTCACACCCTGGCAGAGCCCTGGTAGATGTCCGGGGATGATCCAGGAACAACTGCCTGCAACGTCCGGGATGATCCGGAACATTCGGCATTCGACCCCAGATGGAATAAAATATTTAATATCACCGAGGTGATCCGGGAAGGTATAGCTTTACAGGCTTCATCCTTAGCCCTGCCTGGAACAACCAGGTTACGCAAGGGAAGCACTGAAGCTCTGCTGACACAAACTATAGGGATGATCTTGGGTATGATATACCCGGCAGAGCTACAGTAGAGCCCCAGTGACTGCCAGCAGAGCCCCGGTGAATGCCAGCAGAGCCCCGGTGAATGCCAGCAGAGCCCCTGTGAAAGCCGGCAGAGGCCCGGAGGATGACGATGGAGCTACTGTTGATCCCTGTAGAGCCCCGGCAAAGCCCGGTTCATTTCAAAGAAGTATGGAAATTTGCAATGATTGCACTTGTTTGTAATAAAACCCTTCTCCATTTCCCTTCTGTCCAGTCTTGAATAAGGATTATTCAGAAAATCATCATGAATTACTTATTAAATAGGAGAATGAAAATTATGTATCAACGTCATCATTTTTGCCGTTTTCAATCCACTGGGTTCTTATAACCGTGGCTCTGCCAAAATCGTCCTGGGTTCTGCCTGGATCGACTGGGGCTCTGCCTTGGTCAACTGGGGCTCTGCCGGCGTCATCCAGGAATGACCAGGTAAGCACCGGCATGAACCAGAGCTTCACATGGGCTCTGCCTGGATGGTCCAGGGGCATCATGGGTGTTAGTTGGAAATTACCATAGTGCTGCTGGTGTAAGTGTGACCGCAACAAAAATTTCATTTCAGATCATCCCAGTAACTAACCTGGGTGGTCCTGGGCTCTGCCAGGAGTAAATGAGACCACAACTTAAGATGACAACACGATATCAGGTGATGTTCTTGAAAGTGAGACTACAGGTGATAGTGAGATATTTAGAATGGTTAAAAGCGATTTTTTGATGTTCTTGAAAGTGAGACTACAGGTGATAGTGAGATATTTAGAATGGTTAAAAGCGATTTTTTGATGTTCTTGAAAGTGAGACTACAGGTGATAGTGAGATATTTAGAATGGTTAAAAGCAATTTTTTGATGTTCTTGAAAGTGAGACTACAGGTGATAGTGAGATATTTAAGAATGGTTAAAAGCGATTTTTTGATGTTCTTGAAAGTGAGACTACAGGTGATAGTGAGATATTTAGAATGGTTAAAAGCGATTTTTTGATGTTCTTGAAAGTGAGACTACAGGTGATAGTGAGATATTTAGAATGGTTAAAAGCAATTTTTTGATGTTCTTGAAAGTGAGACTACAGGTGATAGTGAGATATTTAGAATGGTTAAAAGCGATTTTTTGATGTTCTTGAAAGTGAGACTACAGGTGATAGTGAGATATTTAGAATGGTTAAAAGCAATTTTTTGATGTTCTTGAAAGTGAGACTACAGGTGATAGTGAGATATTTAGAATGGTTAAAAGCAATTTTTTGATGATAGTCAGAAATCTGGGTATGATAAGGTAGGAAAGGTTATAGACAAAATTACAAGATATTGTGACTTTGATATATTGGGCATTGCAAATGAACTTGGAGCTTTGTGTGAGTCCAAGAAACTGAGTTGTGTAAATATAGCTGGTGCTATGTTTGACACTGAAATATTAAGTAACGTGAATGAAAGTGGGGCTATGTGTGCCTTTGAGATATTGAAAAATGTAAATGTAGGTGGAGCTATGGGTGACTTTGATGTATAACCAATGTAAAAGAAAGTATAGGTATGGGTCACACTTGCTAATAAAGGTGGCCTTTGGGACTTGGCCTTGAGACATATCATCTCTTCCATGTATTGTTGCTACATGGGGGTGTCTCAAGTGTGTTACCCATATAATAAAAAAAAATGTTCAAGTTATATGTAATGCACAATTTGTAAAATATATTTTCAGTTCAAATATATTCTGGGACTGTTTGTGAAACTGTTTATTGCAAAGATATTCTTGCACTTTGAATGAAGTTTCAGACAAGTCCAAAAAGTTTTTCAGAGAATATTGTTCACTATTATATGATTTAAAAATTGCTGTAATCTCATTGGTTCAAACAGTGGTAATCAGAACAAATTATAAAATCATATTCACTGGCTGAATCGGATTTTCCCTATCTAAATTAGAATCAGACTCATATCCTAAATAACCCTACAGCATGGGGATGCCAGATAAGTTGCGTCATTTGAGCGCATTTTATTTATGAACAGCATTAAAGTGTCATTTCGGTGCATTTTAGAATGGAACTATTGGCTAAGGATGACCTCATTAAGCCGCTTATAATATTAATGTTGTTTAAAAATAAATTCATAAACTATTGTTAGAAAATAGTTGTGGATGAAATGACATTAATTTCCATGAATAAATATCTTATTGAAGGTAATATTTTAAATATGAAAGAATATGAAATTCAATGTAACTGTTTTATTTTGAATATTAAAGAATATGACAGGAAATGCAAGAAAACAAGAGCTGTCACAGGAGAGAGCGAAGCTCGACTAATCAAATACTGGATGCAGTAAGGAAGACGAAACTATGAAAGAAAAATCAATTGTGATATAAATATATTATTGTATCAGTATCAAGAAAACAGTCAAATGTTCTATATTTTGCACAACATAATGATCTTGTCAATAAAATTAATGTTACTTTAATGGAAAGACAGCAATTTGAAATCTGAAGTCAATCCCTTCAAAAACAAAAATTATAAAAGCAAAGAGAATTTAAAGTAAATTATAAGTTCAAAGAGGAAACAACTCTTGAAAAAAGAAGCTAGAGTTATGAACCTTGTCATGCATGATGTGACTAATGACAAAGAACAATTATTTAGCTTAAGTCTAGAGCAGATACCATTTATAACAACAAAGATAATACTAAAAAATCAATTTACAAATGAATTTCAAAAATCAAATGGGGATAATTCTGGGAATACAGGAGCTTGCATTTTATAACTCTTATCCATATGACAAGAAGTTATAGTAAAAAAAATAACATTTGTTAACATAAATTCAAAGTTCAAGGGGGAATAATTCTTGAAGTAGTAACGCTAGAGTTATGTACCATGTCACACATAATGATCAAGAAATAATATCGATCTTAGCGGTGTTTATTAGCTATTTAACACTGGTTTGGAGTTTTGATGCATAGGAATTGACCACGAAGGCCAAAGAATATATATTTGCAGTTTGAAGCTGATACCTTAAGCATATTAAGTATTTTACTGCACCAAAACTTTAATCTGAAATCTGGACGCGGACGCCGGGGCATTAGGAGGACAGCTCTCCATATACTTTGTATAGTTCACCTGAAAATGATTATCATATTAATTGGCAATTGTTTTTTTGTTTTTCAGGTGTAATTAATGCCCATCATGTTCTTTAAAAGTTTTGTACACTATCAATTATGACCTTTATTTTTGTTTCTAATTTAAACACAGTCAAACTTAAAATTTCATGAACTTGAAAGTGGAGTAAGAGAATGTCTAGCACCTAAAATATGAAATCAAAATAAAAAGTAAATGCCAAACAGTCCTATCTGGCAATTTAATACTCCATCTCTTACTGAATAATTAGAAATGCCAAAATGTTGTTCTATCTTAAATTAAATAAGAAAAAAAACATGCTTTTGTTCTATCAAAATGTCACTTGGAACCTTTTCGCTTTGAACATAAAAATCAAAATATGAGAAATTTTAAGTGCGAAACAGTTCTAAGTTACATTTGATTAAATATCTTGTTTGCCAAGTCTTTCCTAAAATTTTTATAATCATTGACATGTTTCTTTAACTTTTTTATGTGTAAAATCAAAGTGTTGTGGAATTTAGCTATTTTACAAACATTTGAGACAGTTTTTTGCTTCTCCTGTAAAATTTTGGAAAATGCACTTAGAACCTTTTCGCTTTCACCCCTCGACATGTATACGTATTATTTGAAATTATCTTTGTTAAGAAGGGTTATCAAATATGATAAACAAGATCAACAAGGAAAGGCGGCGTTCAATGAACGCAACCCCCACATGACCCAGCAACAAGAACCAATGGCAAGGAGCCCAGGGGGACCCCAAACAAAAACAGGACAGGGCAAAGACAGAGCACGGACAGGTTAATCATTAAATGATAATTAATTTAATAGATATATTTTAGATCTAAAATAACTAATTATTTCGAGTAAACCGTGACTTTGGTTAACTGTTTTCTGATTGGTCGTTTAATTTTAGATTATTGTCGCGTCAATTTTGTACTTCTAGTCATTCGAGCCTTTGTTGTCTACATGTAGCTGTCAAGTTCAATTGTCTACAATTAATTTATCTGCATTCAGTTTTATAATAGTACATGTTGGTACTAATAATGTTGCTAAAGGTCACAGTGTTGCCTTTATGTGTAGTGCATTTGCAGATCTTGTCAATTATTTACGTTCTCGTGCCCCTGGGATTCGTATTATTATTTCATCTGTACTTCCTCGTCCAGTGGATGATGATTCTTCTAGGTCCATTATTTACGAATTAAATGCTTATTTGGAGAAAAACATGGCCAAGGATTTAAATTTTCATTTTCTTAAATCATACAGGCCTTTTTGTTTTAAAGGTCAGATTAAACGACATTTATTTGCTCGTTTGGATGGAGGTTTACATCTAAACTCTGAAGGTTGTGCTCGTTTGCACAATTTTTTTCTACGGGTTATTTCTAATCTTTAATGGCCATGTTTTTATTTGAAATGAGTTGATTGCAATATTTGATGTACAGTTACATTGTACTTCTTATTGATATTAGGACTAAAATGAATTGAATTTCATGTGTTAGATAATGTACTAGATTTATACTATTTCAGTATGTTGGGTACTCATTTTATTTATTTCTTTTTGAATATGGACTTAAGTAAAAAAAAATGTATAATTATATTACGTAATTTTCAATGTTAACTTCTTAAATTATTAGGTGTCTGTTTGTTGATCAAAGATACTTGTGGCACTTCTTAGTATACTTATTACAGGTAAATCTATTTGTATATGTGTTGTAAATGTAATAATTGTTTTTTGTTTAGCCTTTTGTTTTGCTTTATTTTGGCCTTGAGTTGGCGGGTTTTCTCTATAATTATGTTAAATTACATACATTAACATTAAATACATATTTGATTATTTAATTAATACAAATTATTTGTATAAAATGTGTACAGCTAGACATGCATTTGCCTAATACTAAAGATGAACTATGTGTGGTGTTTGTTATTTCTTGTTATTAAAGGTTATTGCCCTTTTTAAAAGTAAGGTCCGAGAAGTAATTGATATATTTTAGATCTAAAATAACTAATTATTTCGAGTAAACCGTGACTTTGGTGAACTGTTTTCTGATTAGTCGTTTAATTTTAGATTATTGTCGCGCCAATTTTGTACTTCTAGTCATTCTAGCCTTTGTTGTCTAGCTGTCAAGTTTAAGAAAACCCTCCCACCCAACGCATTATTTATGTTGATTTTGATTTGAGTTTATTGCTTGTTTGCTTGTTTTAGCCTTTTTTGTATGTGTAAAGTTAATAGTTTTGTTTAATTATTTGTGAATTGAAATACGCATATATGTGAATCTTTCTTACACACAGTTGGAGAATGTATTTTATTGAGGGAGTGTTTGAGTTAAATTGACTTTGTTTAAAAAATTGATTAGAAGCAGTTGTCTTCTTATTTTGTTAATTAAGAGTCATCAGTCTGAAGTAAGAGAATTCACATGTATGGATATGTGTTTATTTGCTTTGTTTTGTGTCAGTCTATGCATGAAATGTATGATTTATTTTGCATGAATGTCTCTTTGTATTTAAGATGCTTTGTTACCTGCTTTGTTCTTAAAGCTTATGTATTGTCATTATTGAATTTTCTAAGATTGGCGGGTTTTCTCTATAATTATGTTAAATTACATACATTAACATTAAATATTTATTTGATTATTTAATTAATACAAATTATTTGTATAAAATGTGTACAGCTAGACATGCATTTGCCTAATACTAAAGATGAACTAAGTGTGGTGTTTGTTATTTCTTGTTATTAAAGGTTATTGCCCTTTTTAAAAGTAAGGTCTTAGAAGTAATTAATGTTAAATGTTGATCTGAAAATTGAATTTTTATGACAATAAATGTAATTGTATTTAACACTGTTTGTTCTTTACCGGCCAATGCTGTTTGAACGATAAATTGTACAAAAAACAATTAGTCAAAATCGGTTATGTAACAGACTAACAAAGTATAACAGAGTAATAAGGATTCGCCACAGTTAAATAACGATTCGCCACATGTTGAAAATACAAACTTTTTCACACCTATTAAAGCTATTTTCAAACTGTCTATGAAACCTCCTTTACATTTTATGTATTATTCGTAAATTTTCCCTCATAAAGACGTGTTTTGACGGCTTTTTGTCCCCAACAAACAGTGAAAAAATGCCCTATTCAGGTCCCAAGCACTGTGTTTCGTTTGAGAAATGTTGTTACATTTTTTCGGCCCAGTCCCCTTCCCCCCCCCCATCAGAGAGTTGCCAGAGAGGGTTGTGTCCCCTTCTGTTTGGGGGGGGGGTGTTGAAGGGGGGCGGCAGTCGCCATTCAGGTCGCCAACCTATGAACCCTAATCTTGGGAGTCAAACAAAGTACTAGTAACGCAGCCGTATATGGGGAACTAGCGCGGTATCCGCTGCATATTACAAGATACTATCAGATTATTAAGTATTGGTTACAAATTCTATCGACGGATAACATTATAATTAAACGTGTATATGACGAATCGTTGAAAAGATGCCTAAATAGTAATACAGTAAGTTGGGCCGGTAGAGTTAAGATATTACTCGATCAGTATGGGTTTTCTGGCGTTTGGGAAAATCAAGATAACGTAGATGCCAAACTCTTCTTACCTTTATTTAGACAACGGCTATTTGACTGTTACGTACAGAGCTGGCGAGCTGATTTGCAAGCAAATAATGTTCTGAACACTTTATATGTATACCTTAAAGATGAGTTCGTCACGAGTGACTATCTGAATGTAATAAACTCTAAGTATTTACGTCAGTCTTTGACAAAGAATACGCGTATCGGCACATAGGCTGCGCATTGAAACTGGTAGACACGGTCGAAATCGCATAGAACGGTCCGAGCGAGTTTGTCAGCTCTGTGATTCTCAAGAAATTGAGGATGAATACCACTTCACTATAATTTGCAAAGCCTATGAAACCTTGCGTCATAAATACATTAAACAATATTTTTACAGGCGCCCAAATATGCACAAATTCATACAATTAGTATCTGCTAAAAATAAAGTTATCACCAGAAACCTGGCGAAATATATTTACCAAGCGAGTCGTATTCGCACAGAGCTGCTTTATACAATACAGTAATAATGCAGTTTTATTTTAAAGTTTGAATATATACGTTTCTAAAGTGATAAGCAATATCAACTATAATTAGTTGTGTTTTTTTTGTAACGGCCTGAAACGACATCAACGTATTAAACATATATCTGTGGTCGATGCTACAATAGTACTTTCCTGTAGATTGTTGTCTTTTTCTCAATAAACACCAAAAGTAATATTTTTATGGCATACAGATGCATAATGTCTACTTTACTTAATCATGTATAGCTATTGATTGAAACAGATGCTGAGGACATGTCCATATTATCAACGACTATATGATATTCCGTTCGTTCTCCAATAGTACTTTTTATAAATTGTTTTTCTTTACTGCCAAAAATAATATTTGATGTAATCAGTTTAAAAAAAATACTTCTAGAACAGGTGTTAATTTTATTCTAACTTGTATGTTTGTTCAATTGATAGAAAGTATTTGTTCACTTTACTTAGGTTAATTTTCAAATTTGACTTTTCCTTTTCTAAGATGAATACTTAAGTACATATTTTCTAAGGTAATGTCTTAAGAACATACACATACTTATTTAATCTTTATACGTAAACATTATTGATTGCTGATACAGAATGTTAACATTGTCAATCATAGTGACCATATGCCATGTATTTTGTAAATGTATATTGTACAACGATGTACCATATGTTGTGTACAAGTTGAAAATAAATTCTTCTTCTTCTTCTTCTTCTTCCTAACCCTAACTAAGGGTTGCATTTTTTATCAGACCAGGTAAATGAACAGTTTAGTAATGATGAGGCCTTCACAATATGTAGACATATAAAATACCAAAAAATTAAGGAAGTCCACTTTTGCACACCGTTGCGCCAAAAAATTAGCGTTGGCATTATTGGAAACGCTTGACAGAAAGCAATTGAAAGCGTTTCCTTAACAAGATTGGATGATTAATTCATGAAAAGGTAACTATCGGCTTCAGTACATGTTTAGATATTGAATGCGCTTTTATATTAATTATTTCAGCATATATTTCAGATATGGATAGTATCTTTGTTGGATTGTGTCCAACATGAAGCTATGTAAGTGATAGTCATTTCGGATATATCTATAGTTTCGGGGTAGCTAACCTGTTCCCAGCTGACGTTTCCTCCTCTATTTTGGGGGAGAACCGTCTGCATATTTATTAATACATTATTATTGAAGTATTTAGATATTTAATAAGTGGGTAAATTTATTATAAATTGATATAGATTAGAAAAAGATATTTTGTTGAAGTGTTTAGATGTTAAATAAATGGGTAAGTTTATTATTAATTGATATAAATTAGAGAAAAAAATGTTTTATTGAAGTATTTAGATAAATGAGTAAGTTTATTAGTCGCCGGTAGAAACCGGCGACTATATTTGTAACAGTTTAATATTATACCTATGGTAGGAGAAGGCATTTATTTCTGTAAATAAAAGCATAATAATAATTAATTACTGAACAATTAAAGACTACAATTGTTTTCAGTAATCTCAAAAATTGATTATTTTTATTTGTCCGAGATTCGAACTTGCGCCTACTACATGTACATGTAGGTTACAACTTCGTCATACTAACCACAAGGCCATCGAGCAGATATAATTATACATGTAATTATACTTACAATAAAATCGTTAACATTAATCATAAAAATTTAAGTTATGTAAGCAAACGAAACAGCTCCCGAAAATTATTGAGTCTCGGGTAAATATTGTCAAACAATACTAGCTTATTAAATAATAATAACAGTTTCTAAACTTTCTTGACAAAATTGCTAAGCAAGTTTGCTTCAAAAATGATGTTTTATTATAACATAGCATAAATTTATTGCATAAAACTCTCAGCAAGAAATATATAATTGTGGCAAGTAAATGAAAACGTGTTTATGAATAAACATTACTCAACTTATTGTTCCTCGTTTCTTTATACTCGAACCATTAAACTGATATTTTCTTTAATTTATGATAATACAATCATATTTCTATCCGGCGACTTGATGCTTTAGCATCAAAATCTCTACTTGTTATCAATTGATATAAATTATAAAAACATTTTTTTTGAGGTATTGATATGTTTAATAAATGGAGAAATTATCATGAATTGATATAAATTAGAGAAAAAAAAATATATATATATATTGAAGTATTTAGATGTTTAATAAATGGGTACTAATAAACACCTAATAAATTTGAGGCCATTGGGTCAAAAATCAAGGTCACTATGACACTAAATGTAAAATCATTGACCAATCAATAACTTGTATAAGAGTGTAGGACAAATTGAGCCACCCCAGACGAAAGCCGTGTTTAATCACTTTTGTAAAGGGATCAAATTAATATCCTTAGCACTATGTCACCTACATGTGATGTCCATACATATCTTTTAAACACTTTAATACACTTTATGTAAATTTTATTGACCATGGGGCTTTTGTCCTACCTTTACTTTTTTATGGGGGGCTTTTGTCCTACCAGTAAATTTCATGGGGGGCTTCTGTCCACCTTGTCATTTTTAGATGGGGGGCTTTAGCGGGGGGGGTGGGGGCTTTTGTCCGTATCCCCTTGTATAAATGGCACTTTTACAGGCAGGTGAAGTAGGGGCATCCTTGTAATATAGCACATGTCTAGTTAATTAGGAAAATTCTTATTAATAGTGTAATCTGATTGGTTATTTATCTCATGTGCACAACTAAGGAACTTGTGACCACGACATAGTATCTCGTTCCCACGACTTAACTATCTCTTGGCCACGACTTAGTAACTCGTGGCCACGACATACAAATGTAGTATCTCGTGGCCATGACATTGTTTCTCATGCTCACGACTTAATAACTTGTGGCCACGACTTAGTATTTCGTCCCACAACTTAGTATCTCATTCCCACGACATAGTATCACATGGCAACGACATAGTATCTCGTTCCCATGACTTAATTATCTCGTGGCCAAGACTTAGCAACTCGTGGCCACGACATAGTATCTTGTTCCCACGACTTAACTATCTTGTGGCCACGACTTAGTAACTCTTGTCACAACTTTGTATCTTATGGCCACGACATAGTATCTCGTGCGCACGTCACATGTCACCTTTGTGCCAGCTGGGAGTTGTTGACAAGTTTATATCCAATATATCAAGTAAACACCCACCACATAGTGATTGGTCATAACTAGTAGATGACCGCTATTGATTTTGGGGTCTTGGTTTTGATTTTCTGATCTTTTGGTTGTAAATTAATTGCTGTGAACAGAAAGATACCCGAATAGGAACGAGAAAGATGAAAATGAACATTATTATTTATACAGTATATTAAATAGCTCATAAAAGTATAGAAATAGATATTTCAAACTATAACTTACATTTATGCTGGTTAAAATTTGCTCAGTAAAATTTAACATTACATTTATGGTATATAATTTAGCCACCATTGCCAAAATACGTATTTGAATACAAAAGATTTTTTCTCTTTTATTTCTAACCTTTTATATAAAAAATAATAGCCCTAAAATTTAGTTTAAATTTGTTAAGTAATTTTATTTAGTAACTGTGACTTGCTATACTGTACTCACAGTCATTCATATTCATGAATAAGAACGAGGATACCTAATATGAATATCAAATAGATATAAATGAACTTTGTCTGAAATAGTTTCGTAAACAAAGACTATTATTATTTACTTGCATCATGTCATTGAATGAAAGTAAATAGAGGATATTTGTTTAGTTCAGTGTAAGAATGGGATATATTTCACCGAGTGAGCAATAAAAGTGTATATTTCATGAGTGGCGCAGCCACAAGTGAAATATAAACTTTTGGTTTTCACAAGATGAAATATATTTCAATCTTACACTAAACTAAACAAATTTTCTTTTAATTATATGCAAAGAGACGTAAAAAAAGGCCTTTTGACCTTATACTTAATGAAAAGTGTACCAAATAAATATAACGTGAAGTCATTTACGATGTCACATCATTAAGTTGGTTTCAAGTACTGTGCACGCTGGTATTTCACTGAAGCAAGGTACAACAGTGAAAAATATCAAATTGACAATTTCACTATTTCAAACAGTGAAATATCTGTTTTATATTTCACCAATATATTTCTATAAACCACATGTAAAAGCATGTAGTAAATGAATTTAATGCATTGGTTGCAAATTATTGTGACCAGGAAGATACCAGAATGATAAGAATTCCAAATATGAACATTGTTTTGATATTGTATACATGTATATAAAACATAAGGTTTATAAACTACTATTTATACTTTATTTTTTCAAGTAACAAATATTCACTTAGGTATATGGTAATTATAGTGTAAATATTTGACCCTACGCCACAATTTTATGAAAATTATATTCATATTCGGTATTCTCTTCATTTTCACGAATATGAATTTATATTCAGTATTCAATCATACCCGTTTGCATGCATTGCTTCTAAAAATAGTGACTAACAGCAATTTAATTTTACCCACAGCTAAAAAAAATCACACCTGAAATATACTAATATGGGCCATCTTCATAAAGGTGCAGGATACTCCAGAATAAGCCCAATTCTTTTAAAAATATCACTAAATAATGCAATCAACAGTATTTTCAAAAATGTTCAACAAACTGTCTGTCATACATCTCCTGTTATTTTCTTAGAATTTAATATTCAGTATTTCGGATGAAACTTTGAAAACTGTGCACTGCGGTTACTTTGTATTTAATCAAAGATTTAAAAAAGACCCTATTTCAGGGGAAGTAACTAGTACAATAACCATGTCTCTTACATGATTAACTTAATATCAAGTGCTAGGAACCTGCGAGATGGTCATTTTTCTATATTCCACCTTCATTTAAATTAGAGCTGTCATCGATAGAGATGATATTGATGTATCGTTGATATTTTTCTGTCAATCAATAATTGATACACATTTGAAAAAATTAGTAATTTTGATTAATTATTTTAATGTCTATGAATTATGAAAATTCACCCAAAACATATACAAAAGCAGGTGGCCATGTCTAACACTAAGCTGCTTAAAATTAACCTTAGACTGTTTAAATAACTATTGCAACTTAACTATAAATAGTAAAAGGAAAAAATGTTAGAGGTTTATTAAAACTTAAAATATGAATATAACTTTTGTTTATAGGGGGCTATAATGGATTCGCTTTGTCGCGTCGGTCGGTCGGTCCGTCCGTCTCTATTTTCATGTCCGCTCTATTAATCCTTTACCAATTGAAGGATTTTCTTCAAACTTGGCTCAAATGTTCACCTCAACAAGGGGATGTGCAGAACCCATGTTGCCCTTGTGTCAGCTCAAAGTCAAGGTCACAATTGAAGGTCAAATATCAAACAATCAAATATAAGACAGTATGTTGTGTCCGCTCTGTAAGTCCTACACTAATTGAAAATTTCTTCAAACTTGGCTCAAATGTTAACCTCAACAAAGGGGAGTGCAGAACCCATGTCACCCTTTTGCCGGCTTAAAGGTCAAGTCACAACTTGAAGGTAAAAAATAGACTTAGAAAAATATTCTTAAATTTAACATGATATTGAATATGTCTGAAAACTAGAAAAGGAATTTTGCTTGAAAACTTAAAAATATATATGAAGTTCACATTAAGGATATGCTGGTCAAGTTGTCATAACTCTGTATTGCATTTTAACAAAGTTATGCCCCTTTTTAAGTCTTCAAATTTCAACATACAATCAATATATTAGACAAATATGTTGTGGTCGCTCATATAATCCTATGCTAATGTGAGAATTTTTTCTTCAAACTTTACTCAAATGTACCTCAAAGGGTTATGTGCAGATCAATTTACCTTTTGCTGGCTTAAGGTCAAGGTCACACGTGAAGATATGAAGGTCAAGTTTCATAACTCTGTATTACATTTTGACAAAGTTATGCCCCTTTTTAAGTCTTTAAATTTTCATACAATCGATACTACGCAATATGTTGTGTCCGCTCTATAAATTCTATACTAATGGAAGGATTTTCTTCAAACTTTACTCAAATGTTCACCCCAACTGGGCAATGTGCAGAATCCATCTTACCCTTGTGCCGGCTTATGGTCAAGGCCACACTTGAAGGTCAAAAATTGACTTAGAAATTGTTTAGTACATTGGGAAAATGAAAGGTTATTTGTAACTGTTTCGAACATGATTTAATAATATTTATTTATACTATTACCAGTACAGTTAGTCTTTTTTTCACCAGAGATAATTTCTTTTTATTATGTATATGTATTTGTACCACTAAAGTTATTCCCTTAACCACCTTTCCAAGTTGTCTTCTGTCAAGGACATTGGTGGGGGTATGAATCGCATTCAGCGATCGTTCTAGTTTATTTTTGCAATCAGCAATGATATAGTCAGGGAGCTGTGAAAATGCATAATAATTGCTAATTAACTTGTTATGCCCCCACAGAGTGGGAGCATATAGCGTTGCACTTGTCCGTCCGAGTGTCCGTCCGTCCGTACGTCCCGAAATCTTGTGAACGCAACTCCTCTTAAACCGGATGGCAGATTTTGCTTAAACTTCCAGGGATGAACAACCTTAATGTGTAGATGGTAGTAAAGGAAGGAATTTTTGCTGCGATCAAATTTTACAGAATTATGGCCCTTTGTTGATTTTTTCACTATATACTATGTAGAAATTTTGTGAACGCAACTCCTCTTAAACCGGATGGCAGATTTTGCTTAAACTTCCAGGGATGAACAACCTTAATGTGTAGATGGTAGTAAAGGAAGGAATTTTTGCTGCGACCAAATTTAACAGAATTATGGCCCTTTGTTGATTTTTTCACTATATACTATGTAGAAATTTTGTGAACGCAACTCCTCTTAAACCGGATGGCAGATTTTGCTTAAAACTTCCAGGGATGATCAAACCTTAATGTGTAGATGTAGTAAAGGAAGGAATTTTTGCTGCGACCAAATTTAAAAGAATTATGGCCCTTTGTTGATTTTTTTTCACTATATACTATGTAGAAATTTTGTGAACGCAACTCCTCTTAAACCGGATGGCAGATTTTGCTTAAACTTCCAGGGATGAACAACCTTAATGTGTAGATGGTAGTAAAGGAAGGAATTTTTGCTGCGACCAAATTTAAAAGAATTATGGCCCTTTGTTGATTTTTTCACTATATACTATGTAGAAATTTTGTGAACGCAACTCCTCTTAAACCGGATGGCAGATTTTGCTTAAACTTCCAGGGATGAACAACCTTAATGTGTAGATGGTAGTTAAGGAAAGAATTTTTGCTGTGACCAAATTTAACAGAATTATGGCCCTTTGTTGATTTTTAGTTTTCAACTTGTGGCACATGTAGTCCAAAAAATATTTGACCTAGAGTCATAAGATTGACAGAACAGTGGCGTGTGGGGGCATCCGTGTCCTATGGACACATTTCTAGTTTGATACAATAATGCTTCGAGCGCTGTTGTGTTCTTCAATGTGTTAAATGCTATTAGCATCTTTTTTCACATGATATTGACTGTTAAATATGTACAAAAAGTCATTTAATTAAGCTGCATATGTACTACGGGACGCAAAATTTATGGTCGTTAGTCGCATCAGACAGGGAGTTGTTTAATACAGTGACTTGCCCCTCACTGCTGTGGTTTCGAATCCCGACAGGGACTTTGGATTCTTTCATGTGAGGAAGCTGTCCAGCTAGCTTACAGTACGTCAGTGGTTCTACTCAGGTGCCCGTTTGTGCCTGAAATAATGCACGGAAGAACATCTGAGGTCTTCCTCCACCAGTAAAGTTGGAACGTCGCCATGCAACCTATTCTGAGTCGGTGTGACATTACACCCAATCAAACAAACAAACAAACATAGTAATTTACGTTGGGCAGTCTGAAATAGGGTCGTATATGACAGGAAGTCGTTTAAATCAGTACGTCACTATGACAAGTTTGACTGTAATTATATGAACGATTTCAACTATTCGAACATCTCTTCTTGCCTTGTATAGGGAAGTTTTCCCTGTTAGAGGGTTTTCTTGTGGGTGTCTGTAATTTTATAAAATGAAGAACTCAGAAGATTTTAGTTCATTCATGTCTTACACAATGTCATAATTGAATGGCCATGGCCCTTTAGAATGTTGCTGGGGTTGCAACTGGTAGGGGACTTTTGTATGGCTTGTAATACTTGATAATTGCTTGTTTTATTTGTAGTGGCAAAAGTTGATACAAATATCATGGCTGAATCAGCGGAGGGGAAGGAAAGGCCAAAATCGTCAGAATGTGAAGAGGTATTTGGAGGACCTGTGTTTGAACCAAGACTGTATATACAGAGATATTTCTATGTGAAACAAGAGTTAGCAAAATATAATGTTAAACATGTAAGTATTCATAATCTGTAAAACTATAATTCTTTCAACTTTTTCTTAAAATCATGTTACATAATTGTATTATGTATAAACTTGCTCAGGGTGAGCTATTAGGATCGGTGAATGTCTGTCGTCTGTCGTCCGTCGTACGTCCACAATTGCTTGTGAACACTCTAGCGGTCACATTTTGGAACCAATCATCATCAAACTTGGTCAGAATGCTTGTCTAGTCAATTGCTTGGATGAGTTCGAACATGGGTCATCTCTGATGAAAATCTAGGTCACAGGAGCTATAAATAGAAAAACCTTGTGAACACTAGCGGTCACATTTTGGAACCAATCATCATCAAACTTGGTCAGAATGCTTGTCTAGTCAATTGCTTGGATGAGTTCGAACATGGGTCATCTCTGATGAAAAACTAGGTCACAGGAGCTATAAATAGAAAAACCTTGTGAACACTCTAGTGGTCACATTTTTGACCCAATCATCATCAAACTTGGTCAGGATGCTTCTCTAGTTGATAGCTCGGATGTGTTCGAACATGGGTCATCTCGGATGAAAAACTAGGTCACCGGAGCTAAAAATAGAAAAACCTTGTTAACACTCTAGCGGTCACATTTTTGAATCAATCATCATCAAACTTGGTCAAGATGCTTGTCTAGGTGAAAGCTTGGATGAGTTCGAACATGGGTCATCTCGGATGAAAAAGTATGTCACCGGAGCTAAAAATAGAAAAACCTTGCTAACACTCTAGCGGTCACATTTTTGCATCAGTCATCATCAAACTTGGTCAAGATGCTTGTCTAGGTGAAAGCATGGATGAGTTCAAACATGGGTCATTTCGAATGAAAAACTAGGTCACAGGAGCTAAAAATAGAAAAACCATGTTAACACTCTAGAGGTCACAATTTTGCCTCAATCATCATCAAACTTGGTCAGGATGCTTGTCTAGGTGATAGCTCGGATGAGTTCGAACATGGGTCATCTCGGATGAAAAACTAGGTCACAGGAGCCAAAAATAGAAAAACCTTGTTAACACTCTAGTGGTCACAATTTTGACTCAATTGTCATCAAACTTGGTCAGGAAACTTGTCTAGGTCATTGCTGGGAATAAATTGAACATGGGTCATCTCGGATGAAAAAGTAGGTCACCGGAGCTAAAAATAGAAAAATCTTGTTAACACTCTAGTGGCTACTGTTGTGATCCAAATATTCTGTTAATTGGTCTGAAAGTTTGTTTTGATGATTTCTAAGTCAAGTTCGAACATGGGTCATCTTGGGTGAAAAACTAGGTCACACTGCTCAAATATGGAAAAACCTTGTTAACATTCTAGTGGTCACATTTTCGACTCAATTATCATCAAACTTGGTCAGGATGCTTGTCTAGGTAATTGCTTGGATGAGTTCGAAATCGCATGTGAAACTAGGTCACCGGAGCTAAAAATAGAAAAATCTTGTTAACACTCTAGTTGCTACTGTTTTGATCCAAGTATCCTGGAAATTGGTATGAAAGTTTGTTTTGATGATTTCTAGGTCAAGTTTGAATATGTGTCACCTGGGTAAAAAAGCTAGGTCGCACTGCTCAAATATGGATAATTCTTGTTAACACTGTAGTGGTCACATTTTTGACTCACCTGTCATGAGACTTGGTCAGAATGCTTGTCTAGGTAATTGTTTGGATGAGTTTGATAAGTCAGGTGAGCGATCTAGGGCCATCATGGCCCTCTTGTTTAATTACACCCCTACAAACACAGTTTGAAAAGGTTATACTTGAGTAAGCTTGTCCCCTTGTCTTTATAAATGCTACTCTTCATACAATGCATCATGGATGACATTATTGAAATTTATAAAGACCAGCATGTTGCTATTTATTCTTTAAACAAATTCTATTTCTCCCCATTAAGGCTTTGTTTTCACAAAATCCTATAAAGTGGGTTATAATATTGTGATACACATACACTGCTGCTCTGTTATAACGCTAACCTCAGTATGTATAACGCTCTTAGGCGTTGGCTCCCCCCCAAAAAAAACAAACATTTTTTGCCGATTATAATATTTTTGTCGCAAACCCGGGTTATATAATGGTGAATGTTTGGCATCGGGCGGGCAGGCGGGGGGACAATTTTCGTTACAGTTTTCTTTGCAACTACTTATCACAGCCTCTTGATATTTGGTATACAGCATGAGCTCTCATTTGGTTAGATTCAATTTCAGGTCTGTCGCTCATCCACTTTCCTTTTTACCGACTTAGTTCAATTTTGGTCATTAATGGTCAATGGTAAGAAATTTAATTTTCATAACAGTTTTTTCAGCAACTACTTATCACAGCCTCTAGATATTCGGTATACAGCATTATCACATGGTCCCATACTGTGGGATTGGATTTCAGGTCTGTCATTCATCCACTTCCTGTTTACCGACTTTGATAAATTTCCAACATTGGTCAGTGGTAAGAAATTTTTTCTCAGCAACTTTTTATCACACCCTCTAGATATTTGGAATACACCATTAATATGTAGTCCATGATACTGTGGGATCCGATTTAAGGTCTGATGTTACAGTTGTTTTACTGGTTCCGGCCCAGTTTTTAGCTCGACTATACAAAGTATATGGAGAGCTGTCCTACTCGCGTTGGCGTCCGCGTCCAGATTTCAGATTAAAAGTTTTGGTGCAGTAAAATATTTTTCACTATAACTTTGTCATTTCTTAAGGTATCAACTTCATACTTCAAAATATGTTCCTTATCATCAACCACATGTTATGTGACAAGGTTCATAACTCTAGCACCAATATTTTCAGATTTATTTCCCCTTGAACTTAGAATTTTCCTTAAAAAATATTATTTTTTACTGTTACTTATTTATTTCTTAAGGGATAAACTTCATACTTCAAATATATGTACCTTATCATTAACCACATGTTATGTGACAAGGTTCATAACTCTAGCACCTATATATTTAGTTTTATTTCTTCTTGAACTTAAAATTTTGTTTAAAAAATATTATTTTTGTGATGACTTTTTGTCCGTCTGTCGTCCGTCCGTCTTCCATAAACTTTTACTTTAAACGACATCTGCTCATAAACCGCTAAGCCAATTTCATCCAAACTTCACAGGAATGGTCCTTTGATGGTCACCTTTAAAATTTGTTCAAAGAATTTAATTCAATGCAGAACTCTAGTTGCCATGGCAACCGAACCGAAAGAAAAAACTTAAAATATCTTCTTTTAAAAAACCCAAAAGGGTAGAGCTTAGATATTTGGCATGAAACATCTTCTAGTGAGTGTCTATCAAGTTTGTTCAATTAAAAGCCCTGGGGTCAAAATTGGCCCCGCCCCAGGGGGTCATTTCTTTTTCTTATATGCTACTACCATTTTGCAACACACTACACACATTTTTATGATCTGTGTTTATCAACACATCTTTACCATGGAGATTAGGTATATTTGAGTGTACTACCCTATATACAGACTCAAGCTCACGCCAGGTGGAACTCAAAATGCTCTCAGATTCTAACCAAGAACCGATAACATCGCTGTCTGCAATAACCTGTATGTAACCCCCAAAACCTACATTATTGTTTGGTTTTATTAACCTGTCAATTACATACTGATTACACGGTCGATGCACACAGTATATTAATCTTCGGTAGATGTTAGGTAAGTTCCGTGAGATGTGCGCTGTACGATGGAATTTAATTTAATTTGTTCAGGGAAGACCCGTTGCTCTGAATGTTGAGAAAACTTGTGGGTCAACCCTTTTGCCAAATATGTCATGTCATTGTATTGTAACTGTCTACATGTATGTATATGTCTTATTTTTGGCAATAAAATATGTTTAAATCAAATCAATCAAAATCAATTTAATTTGTATCTCTAAACTAAGTGTACTCAGCGCTATAGCGCAATAGGGTAAATCACGAGTTCATAATCTAAGTGCCACACGTGTTTTAAGTTCGAGGCCGCGTTGGTCCATGTTTTTTTCTTATTAATACTTTCACCATTATTGAATCTATATATGATTATTTTATGTTCGTTTTTTTATTATGTTTTGCTTAATTTTGTTATGTATATACTCTTTTTAAATAACATGTTTTTTAAGAATTCATGGTTAAAATTAAAACGGATTAAAATCAATAAATGTCTTTTCAATGCCGTAAAACACACTACAAATCTGTTCCATTAAAATATACTGCAAAAAATATAGAAAGAGTACTAAAACAGACCTCTCAACTATCAGGCATTCTCTTTACCGACTGTCCTATTGTGAATTAACGAAACCTTCACATTAAGCTGGCGTGACTTTCAATCCATGACTAATATATTCCACATTAATTCTCGTAAACTACACGGACCAAACCGAAGTGGGATCGAATATTTAAATGAGTCCTATGATGTATTCATAATTGACAAGTCAATAAAATCAGACTATACTTGCGTCAACAAAGACTTTTGCATAATTACAACTTCCAGCTCCACTGGCGTCAACAAAGACGTTTGCATAATTACAACTTCCAGCTCCACTGGCGTCAACAAAGACGTTTGCATAATTACAACTTCGAGCTCCACTGGCATCAACAAAGACGTTTGCATAATTACAACTTCGAGCTCCACTGGCGTCGACCAAGACGTTTGCATAATTACAACTTCCAGCTCCACTGGCATCAACAAAGACGTTTGCATAATTACAACTTCCAGCTCCACTGGCGTCAACAAAGACGTTTGCATAATTACAACTTCCAGCTCCACTGGCATCAACAAAGACTTTTGCATAATTACAACTTCCAGCTCCACTGGCGTAAACAAAGACTTTTGCATAATTACAACTTCCAGCTCCACTGGCATCAACAAAGACATATGCATAATTACAACTTCCAGCTCCACTGGCATCAACAAAGACATATGCATAATTACAACTTCCAGCTCCACTGGCGTCAACAAAGACTTTTGCATAATTACAACTTCCAGCTCCACTGGCATCAACAAAGACATTTGCATAATTACAACTTCGAGCTCCACTGGGGTCAACAAAGACGTTTGCATAATTACAACTTCCAGCTCCACTGGCATCAACAAAGACATATGCATAATTACAACTTCCAGCTCCACTGGCGTCAACAAAGACGTTTGCATAATTACAACTTCCAGCTCCACTGGCGTCAACAAAGACATTTGCCGTATCACTTATTTCAGAAAATAACGAACCTTGTTCAAATTTCTAATATTTCCACGCCAATAAATAAGCTCATCAAATGCACCACTGCTTATTTTGACTGGAGCATTCCAGCTTGCTCTGCTATTTACACATTCATATAAATATCTGGTTCTGAGTCTCACTACAGAACCAAAAACACTCATCATCGATATCAACTGACCCGTTAAACATGCTATCTTTTTGACCGAAAACAAAACTATGCCCTTGCATACAGAAGTAATAAAAAACTGTAATAATGATTCGGTCTGATCTATTCTTTCTTGCGTTACTTTCAGCACACCCTCACATGTATTCCAAAAATAGCCTACCCAAATAGTTTGCTGGGTCGGCTCCCACTGACACTTACCTTCGGCTAACAGAAAACCGAAACTAATCAAATCTTTTTTAGCAAAAATACTGTTTTCCCTAGCCATCTCAAGAGAGCTAGCTCCACCTAAACCATCATCTAAAAACAAAATGATTTTCATCCCCAAATTTCTCCATTTCTTGATTACTACCTGTAATATCTTAGTAAATATATATCCGGCGGTAGATATACCGAACGGCAAAACCTGAAACACAAAATATCTCTTCTGTCCCAATTCTGTCCATGAAAAACCTAAATAAGTAGCATGTTGGGGGAAAATCATAATATGATGATATGCCCCTTTAATATCAAACGTTTTGAAAAGTTTTGCCTAGCCAAGTCATGACTTTCATAACAAAATTTGTACTTGAATTGATCTGGGTTAAAATGTCAGCATTCTAAGACTTACCTCGGTTTACCATGCCTATTGTAAGCAACAGTTAACGGGTTTACCACAAAAGGTGCCTAAGCAACTTCTTCTATACGACCTTTAGTGAGAAGGGTTCGAATCTCACTCAAAACAAATACAGCATTTTCTCTGGCAGACCTATTATTTCTCAGTTCAACAGATTTTGGTAACGTTTTAAAAGGCAACTTATACTTCTGAAACTACACTTAAAATATATTCACCTGGCTCCGCCTCTTGCCAGTGCTTAATGCAATTATGTAATCTCCCATCCGGAGACACTACTTTATCTAAAACTTATCGTTGTCATACATATGTGAAACATTCTTAATCAAATTATTAGAGCATTTATAGCTTAACTTCATTTTCTCAATATTAAAGTTATCAGACTCCTCAACTTCATTTATCAAAAATGAACCATAGTTTATACTTATCTGTGCATTGCCATTCTTATCAGCCGGCAAGTCCATGCAGCAGTCTGCCCGTCAATGCCCAGGTTTCACACACTTGAAGCATAGCCCTGCATGGTTTCCTGTTTGATGTCTGTTGATTGGGAGGACGACTATCTGTAGCTGGCGACGCTTTAGTAGCAGGGTATGGTAAAAAAGCTCTTACTTGACGCTCCTGACGAACCTTCCTATCTGCTTGAATTTGTGCCTTGTAGATTTTCTTCTAATCGTCTGAGTTTTCCACCAATGGATGGGACTTGTATTCTTGTTCAGTCAACACGCCAACCATGCTCTGAACTGTCGGCTAATTTCAAACATTTTGGCGATGTCACAAAATGTCAATACCTTCTGAAATTTTTTTCTCTGGCACTGCCAGCAGACGAATTCAAATCTTCTTCAGTAATGCGGGCAAGATTACCTTCTGCTTGTCTCATTTTTTCCATCACTTTGGCATTCACCATAAACTGTTGCTATTGGCCTTTCTTCTTGAAAACATAAGTACCACTGGAACACGCCAAAATTTTATTTTGTGAGATGTGGTATATTTTCTTCTCAAATGTCTGCAGTCTAGAATCTACATGTAACAAAGACTCTAAACTCGATAAAAGACTGCTTTCTTCCATCCCAAGTGGCAACGGCTGCCACATGCTAATTTGGAAGTGTAAAATATATATACAACGTCTTCATATTTGGCATTGAGGTTAGTCATGATTAGTAGATGACCCCAATTGACTTTGAGGTCACCAGGTCAAAGGTCAAGGTCACAGGGGCCTTGACTTCAAAAAGCTTGTCTGCCTAATAAATTAAGATTCCTTTGACCCACAGTCTCCATATTTGGCATGGAGGCTAGTCATGATAAGTAGATGACCCCTATTGATTTTGAGGTCACCAGGTCAAAGGTCAAGGTCACAGGGGCCTTTACTTCAAAAAGCTTGTCCGCCCAATAACTTAAGATTCCTTTGACCCATAGTCTTCATATTTGGTATTGAGGTTAGTCATGATTAGTAGATGACCCCTATTGACTTTGAGGTCACCAGGTCAAAGGTCAAGATCACAGGGGCCTTTACTTCAAAAAGCTTGTCCGCCCTATAACTTAAGATTCCTTTGACCGACAGTCTTCATATTTGGCATGGAGGCTAGTCATGATAAGTAGATGACCCCTATAGACTTTGAGGTCACCAGGTCAAAGGTCACAGGGGCCTTGACTTCAAAAAGCTTGTCCGCCCAATAACTTAAGATTCCTTTGACCCACAGTTTTCATATTTGGAATGGAGGTTAGTCATGATTAGTAGATGACCCCTATTGATTTTGAGGTCACCAGGTCAAAGGTCAAGGTCACAGGGACTTTGACTTCAAAAAGTTTGTCTGCCCAATAACTTTAGATTCCTTTGACCCACAGTCTTCATATTTGGCATGGATGTTGATCATGATTAGTAGATGACCCCTTTTTATTTTGAGGTCACTGGATCAAAGGTCAAGGTCATAGGGACTTTGACTTCAAAAATTTTGTCCACCCATTAACTTAAGATTCCTTTGACCCACAGTCTTCATATTTGGCATGGATGTTGATCATGACTATAAGGTGACCCCTATTGATTTTGAGGTCACTGGGTCAAAGGTCAAGGTCACAGGGACCTTGACAAAAAAAAGCTTTTCTTCTCAATTGCTAAAGAATGTCCTGTCCGCAATGTATTGATTTTGACATTTTCACATTTGAAGCATGTAGAATACATAACTTAGCAATGCACTGGCTTAGTAACCTCAGATTTGGCAGGGAGGTTGTCCTTGAGCTCTAAATGGCCACTGTTGATTCTGACAAAGTGGTATGCGGGGGTATTCAGGCCATGATAGTGGCAGTTCTAGTTTATACTAATCTGAAAATGATTACAGCTGAAAAACTAAAATAATCTGAAAATTTTAATATGTTGGCCATCTTTGACATTGACTTTGACAGCCATTTTGGATTTGCAAAACCTAGATCCGAGGCATGAATATAAATAAATATGTAATACAATAATTATAAATTGGTGCTATTTCATACTGCTCCGTAATGACGACAACAGCTGAAAAGCTATAACATTCTGAAAATTTTATATAGCGGCCACATCTTGGATTTTGGCAGCCATCTTGAATTTGCACAACCTAGATCCAAGGCTTGAATTTAAATAAATGTGTAATATGGTAAAGTGGTGCTATTTCATACTGACCTGTCATGACTTAACAGTTTAAAAACTCTGATAGTCTAAAAATTTTAAGAATTTGAAATAAATCAATGTGTAATTTAATGATTAGGTGCTATTTCATACTGTTCTAGCTATGACTAAAGCTGAAATACTAAACTATTCTGAAAATTTTAATATATGGCGGCCATCTTGGATTTTGGCGGCCATATTGGATTTGTACAACCCGGATCCCAGGCTTAAAACAAAATGATTGTATCATTCAAAAACTTTGCCAAGTTTCATGCTTTTCACAGAAGGTGCACGGATTTCTTGGATTATGGTCTACTTTCTTGTCTTTTGATGTACAGCCATGAAATTTGGACTATGTGCGAAGTTTGAGTTATAAAATTGAATTCTAATATCATGCATGCAGTTGACCTTAATTTTGACACGTGACCTTCTTCCTTGTTAACCAGGTTTTCAATGAAAACTTGTTATTGTAATGCAGAAGTCGGCGGACATTGGACAATGAAGTTGTCTGGAGTATCTGTGGTTGTTAATTGAAGAGGGGAGGGGGTTTCCCACAGATTTTATATTATATTATATATGTCTCAGAAACCATTTCCTCTTACCTACAAAATGCAGAGCATAATGTACATATTTAGCATGTGGCATCACTTTGTTGGCTTTATAATAGTAGAATTAAAATCATGAACATAAGGTAAATGTCTGTGTGGATATTGATGCTATTAAAGTAGAGGGAGGAAATAAAATAAAATAAAAAAAAAGAAAATTATTTGTAATTATAGCATTTGATTTTTATAGGACTGAAATAATTTTCTACTCTAAATTTTGATTACTTTAGCAGATTTGCATTTGGGCGTATATTGCCATGCTATAGGGGCATTTGTCTAGTCTTCCAAGGACAGTTCTTGTTATAAATAAAATAATATAACCGGTAAAGGTATATAGCAGGAGTTGACTTCTATCATTCCTTTTTACATGTGAATTTATGTCTTTAACTTAGGTTGTAGATTTTGGCAGTGCTGAGTGCAAAATTTCGCGTTTCCTTGTCCAGATTCCTACATTAGAGAAACTGGATCTGGTAGACCTTGACGAAGGCCTCTTAGAATGGAACAAATTTAGTATTCGACCATTGACCTGTGATTACTTAGAAAAGCGGGAACTGCCATTGGACGTAAAGGTATTCTGTGGAAGCGTAACTAATCTGGATGAGTCTATTATTGGCTGTGATGGTGTCAGCATGGTCGAACTGTAAGCATGATAAAAATTTTGTTTATTCATGGCATATGTTTTAAGCTATTCTTTAAAAGAAATCGGAAAGACCTTACCTAAACTTTTCAAAAGCTGAATGTTTACTGATAAGTGTTAAACAATTTTTAAGTGCAGTTTTATTTGCTTGATTATTATATCTATATAATAGGGAGACCCAACATCAGAAAAAAAATCAGAGTTAATGGTATGCATCTTCAGAAACAATAGAAAGAAAACATTTTGGCAAAAATATTAGTTATAATGAGATGTGCAGAACCCAGTTTGGGCTCTCTGAAAACAAAATTGGTCCCTCCTTGTGGGTTATTTGATTTATATAGACTTGTAAACACATGTTTCATTGTGTGAAACTACAATGTTTAGAGATAAGATATTTGGTTTGTAACCATGCTTATGACCATTGAATTATATAGGCAAAATATCGGGACCTGGAAAAAGCGGTTGTAATATCGAATTGCCCGCAATTTAGGGTCGGTCATAAAGCGAGACTTTACTGTATGTATATAGTAAAAGTTTTTAAAAATTCTTCTTTTAAAAATCCCAAAGAGCTAGAGCTAAGACATATTTTAAAGGGTTTGTACCAAGTTTGTTCAAATAAAAGCCCTAGGGTCAAAATTGGCCCCGCCCTGAGGTTTCAATGATCTTTCTTTTATGTATATAGTAATAACTTAAAAAATCTTCTTTTAAGAAACCCAAATATCTAGAGCTTAGATATTAAGCATGAAACATCTTCTTGTGAGTGTCTACCAAATTTGTTTTCTTGCATATTATTCTTCCTTTCGATTGAATTAGGGGTGTCAAGGTCAAGAACACCAATAATAGATTTCTACACTTTTGCTAAAACAGCCTTTCTTTTTTTGTCTGATATTTTTTTAAATTTGAAAGGATGATAAGTTGCATCCTTGGATTGTCAGTTAGGGGTCAGTTGGGTCAAGGTTACCAGTGCTGAAAAAAGATTTTTACACTTTTGCCCATAATGCCTATATTTTTTGACAGATTTCTTACATATTTGGTAGGAAGATATCTTTTATATTTTTTGGATTAAGTCAAGGGATGTCAAAAATAGATTTTTATGCATTTGCTTATAAAGCCTTTATTGTGCCCCCACTTTGGGGGGGGGGGGGGCATTTAGATTTACCCTTGTCCGTCCGTCCTCATTTTGTGTTGCACTTAACTCAAAAGGTATTTGACCTAGAATCATGAAACTTTACAGGAATTTTGCTCACCATGTGTAGTTTGTGCACCTGGGTATTTTCGTGTGGATTTTTTTAGTATTTGTAGAGTTATTTCCCTTGACTTAGTGAAAATTTGCAATTTTCAACTTGTGTCGCATGTAGCTCAAGAAATATTTGACCTAGAGTCATGAAACTTTACAGGAATGTTGATCAGCGTGTGAAGTTGTGCACCTGGGTATTTTCGTGTGGTTTTATTCAGTATTTGTAGACTTATTGCCCTTGACTTAGAAAAAATTTGCAATTTTCAACTTGTGTGGCACATAGGTCAAAATTTGTTTAATCAAGAGTCATGAAACTTTACAGGAATGTTTATCAGCATGTGTAGTTGTGCACCTGGGGTTTCGCTTTTAAATTTTTTCTGTTTTGTCAGAGTTATTGCCCTTGACTTAGTGAAAATTTGCAATTTTCAATTTGTGTCATGCTTAGCTCAAAATGTATTTAACCTAGAGTCATGAAACTTAACAGGAATGTATTTCAGCATGTGTAGTTGTGCACTCAGGGTTTTACTTGTTTTATCCAATATTTCTAAAGTAATTGCCCTTGACTTAGTAAAAACCATTCCATAATGTTGTCTTATTTGTTCCTTGAGTGCTTGAGATTTACAAGAATAATGATTAACATCACTGTTATATGCACTTGGGGTTTTTCAGTTTTGTTAGAGTTATTCACAACTGTGAATGGGTAAACATTTTTTGAAATAAATTACTGACAAGAATCTGAGCAGGGGGGCATTTGTGTTGAACAAACACATTCTTGTTTTTGTGCCCCCACTTTAGGGGGGGGGGATATAGATTTACCCTTGTCTGTCAGTCTGTCCGTCCGCTTTCACGGGACAGTAATAATGTGGCTAGAGGGACAATAGGTAACTGTTCTTTCTCTTTGATGTCATTCATTCCATAATGCTTTCATGTGGCTATTTTCTTTGGTGTGGCTAAAAAGAACAATAGAGAGAACAATAGAGTAGCCTCATTATTACTGTCCCGTTAGAACTTCCGTCTGTCCATCCTGTCTTCAGTCCGTTCACATTTTGTGTTGCACATAGCTCAAAAAGTATTTGACCTAGAGTCATGAAACCTTACAGGAATGTTTATCATTATGTGTAGATGTGCACCTGGGTATTTTCGTGCAGATATATTTAGTATTATTAGAGTTATTGCCCTTGACTTAGTAAAATTTTGCAATTTTCAACTTGTGTCGCATGTAACTCAAAAAGTATTTGACCTAGAGTCATGAAACCTTACAGGAATGTTGCACAGCATGTGAAGTTGTGCGCCAGGGTATTTCTGTATGGACATTTTTTTGGTATTTTTAGAGTTATTGCCCTTGACTTAATAAAAATTTACAATTTTCAATTTGTGTTGCATGTAACTCAAAAAGTATTTGACCTAGAGTCATGAAACTTTACAGGAATGTTAATCAGCATGTGAAGTTGTGCACCTGGGGTTTTTGCTTGTGGATTTATTTTGTTTTTTCAGAGTTATTGCCCTTGACTTCATAAAAATTTGCAATTTTAAACTTGTGTCGCACATAGCTCAAAAAGTATTTGACCTAGGGACATGAAACTTCACAGGAATGTTGATCAGCATGTGTAGTTGTGCACCTGGGTATTTCTGTTTAGATTAATTTAGTATTTGTAGAGTTATTGTCCTTGACTTAGTAAAAATTTGCAATTTTCAACTTGTGTCACATGTAGCTCAAGAAGTATTTGACATAGGGTCATGAAACTTTACAGGAATGTTGATCAGCATGTAAAGTTTTGCATCTAGGGTTTTGCTTGTGAATTGATATGTTTTGTCAGAGTTTTTGCCCTTGAGTAAATGAAAATTTGCATTTTTCAACTTGTTCATGCATAGCTCAAAAATATTTGACCTGCAGGGCTGAAAGTTTACAAGAATGTTGGTCAGCATGTGTACTTATGCACCTTAAGTTTTTTTTAATAACTTTGCACAAGTGCTCACCATTATGAGATGATGTGCAGAGCCCAATAATTGGGTTGCTACCCCCAAGGTCACACTTTAAGGTTTAAGTGTAAAAGTCTACATTTTGTGTCTGCTCCATAACTTTTAAACCGCTGAAAAGTTTTGTTAAATAAATTGGCACAACTAATCACCATTATGAGATGATGTGCAGAGTGCAATAATTGGGTTGCTATCCAAAAGGTCAAGGGCAGACTTTAAGATCAAATGTTAAAAAGTCTACATTTCTTGTCCCCTCCATAACTTTTTAAACACTGTAATTTTATAAAATATTAGTTGGCACAACTGATCACCATTATGAGAAGATGTGCAGAGCGCAATAATTGGGTTGCCATAGAGTGTCTTATAAATTGCATTTATGAATGGACACACTTAAGTATTCCCATTCATCCATCCACTTTTCAAAATATTTTAGAATTGAGCACCTGTATCCTGATGTATTGAAGGCAGCAGTGGATATGGTGTTTGGTAAACTTAGACCCAAAGTAATTGTTATAACAACACCAAACTCGGACTACAATCAGCTGTTTCCTAATTTCTCAGGTATGCGACACTGGGATCATAAGTTTGAATGGAGCAGGGAGGAATTTCAAAGCTGGTAAATATCTGTATATTACAGGTTGTGTTTAAAAATAGTGCTATTCTATATGTATTTGAAATAAAGACTCATTATGTCTCCTTTGGGAGACATATAGATACTAAATAGGGGCCTATGGGAACAATAAATTTCCTTTGATGCTAATCATTCACTAAGCTTTTTGTGTGGCTACTTTTTAGCTCGACTATACGAAGTATATGGAGAGCTGTCCTACTCGCCCCGGCGTCCAGATTTCAGATTAAAGTTTTGGTGCAGTAAAATATTTTTCACTATAACTTTGTCATTTCTTTAGGTATCAACTTCAAACTTCAAATATATGTTCCTTATCATCAACCACATCTTATGTGACAAGGTTCATAACTCTAGCACCAATATTTTCAGATTTATCTCCCCTTGAACTTAGAATTTTCCTAAAAAAAATACTATTTTTTTACTGTAACTTCTTTACTTCTTAAGGGATCAACCTCATACTTCAAATATATGTACCTTATCATCATCCCCATCTTATGTGACAAGGTTCATAACTCTAGCACCAATATTTTCAGATTTATCTCCCCTTGAACTTAGAATTTTCCTTAAAAAATACTATTTTTTACTGTTACTTCTTTATTTCTTAAGGGATCAACCTCATACTTCAAATATATGTACCTTATCATCATCCACATGTTATGTGACAAGGTTCATAACTCTAGCACCAATATTGCAAGAATTATCTCCCCATAAACTTAGATTTTTATACTAGAAAAATGTTATTTTTTACTATAACTTTTTTAGTTTTAAAGGTATCTAACTCAAACTTCAAATACTTATTCCTTATCATCAATTACATTTTATGTGACAATGTTCATAACTCTTGAAGCAATATTTACAGATTTATCTCTCTTTGAACTTAAGATTTTCTTTAAGAAATATTATAACTTCTTTACTTTTTAAGGTATCTACTTCAAACTTTAAATATATATTTCTTATCATTATACACATGTTGTGTGACAAGGTTCATAATTATAGCGTGACTATTTCTTGAATTATTCCCCTTGATCTTGGAATTTATGTTATTTTTTTACTATAACTATTACTATAACATAATTATACATAATTGATTTTTCTTTCATAGTTTTGTCCTTACTGCGTCCAGTATTTTATTAGTCGAGCTTCGCTGTCTCCTGTGACAGCTCTTGTTTAGCTCACCTGAGCACAATATGCAAAAGGTGGTCTTTGGTGATCACAATTTGTCCCGCATCCATTGTCCCTCTGTATGTCTGTGCATCTGTCGTCAACTTTTTATACAAACAACTTCTCAGAAACCGATGGGCCAATTTGATGAAATTTTCCTGGGATGTTCCTAGCATGAAGCTCTACTAAAACTGTTCAATTGGTTCTGCTCAATTGAACACCTAGGTCAGGAGGGTTAAAAATAGCACCACCTCATGAAACTCTACAATTCTTTTTATGCCCCCACTTTAGTGGCGGGCATTTAGATTTACCCTTGTCTGTCCATCCTTCCGTCCGTCCGTTCACTTTTGTGTCGCACATAACTCAAAAAGTATTTGACCTAGAGTCATGAAACTTTACAGGAATGTTGATCAGCATGTGTAGTTGTGCACCTGGGTATTTTTCGTCTGGATATTTTTAGAGTTATTGCCCTTGACTTAGTAAAATTTTGCAATTTTCAACTTGTGTCGCATGTAACTCAAAAAGTATTTGACCTAGAGTCATGAAACTTTACAGGAATGTTGATCAGCGTGTGTAGTTGTGCACCTGGGTATTTTCGTCTGGATATTTTTAGTATTTTTAGAGTTATTGCCCTTGACTTAGTAAAATTTTGCAATTTTCAACTTGTGTCGCATGTAACTCAAAAAGTATTTGACCTAGAGTCATGAAACTTTACAGGAATATTGATCAGCATGTGTAGTTGTGCACCTGGGTATTTTCGTCTGGATATTTTTAGTATTTTTAGAGTTTTTGCCCTTGACTTAGTAAAATTTTGCAATTTTCAACTTGTGTCGCATGTAACTCAAAAAGGATTTGACATAGAGTCATGAAACTTTACAGGAATATTGATCAGCATGTGTAGTTGTGCACCTGGGTATTTTCGTCTGGATTTACTTAGTATTTTTAGAGTTATTGCCCTTGACTTAGAAAATTTTTGCAATTTTCAACTTGTGTTGCATGTAACTCAAAGGATTTGACATAGAGTAATTAAACCTTACGGGAAGGTTGCTCAGCATATTTAGTTTTGCACCTGGGGTTACGCTTGTGGATTTATCCAGTATTTGTAGAGTTATTTCCCTTGACTTAGTAAAAACTGTTTCATTATGTTGTTATTTGTTCCTTGAGTGCTTGAGTTAGAATCAACCGACTTTACAGGATTAATGATCAACATCACTAAAATACAGGAATAATGATTCACATCACTGTGAAGCTATGCACCTGGCACTTTGCATGTGGATTTTTTTCAGTTTTGTTAGAGTTATTGCCCTTGACTTACAGTAGTATAAATTTGCAATTTTTAATTTGTTCATGCATAGCTCAAAAAGTATTTCACTTGTAGGCCTGAAAGTTTACAAGAATGTTGGTCAGCATGTGTACTTATGCACCTTGGGGTTTGCTTGTGGATTTATTCAGTATTTGTAAAGTTCTTGCCCTTTACTTAGTAAAAGATTTTTAGTTTTCAAAAAATATTTGATCTAGAGTCATAAGATTGACAGAACAGTGGCGCGGTGGGGGCACCCGAGTCCTATGGACACACTTCTAGTTTTTTTCAAAATTGACCTTTCCCCAGGAGGTTATCTATTTTCCGTATAATTATGCATATAGTAAAACTTAATAAATCTTCTTCTCTGAAAGTGCAAGGCCTATAGCTTAGATATTTTGTGTGTAACATCATCCAATGAAGCTCTACAAAAATTGTTCAAATATAGCCCTTGGGTCAAAATTGACCCGCTCTAGGGGTCTTTGATTTTCATTATATACATATAGTAAAAACTTAAAAAGTCTTCCCCTCTGAATGTGCAATGCCTGGAGCATAATAGTTTGTGAGTAGCATCATCTAAGGAAATTCTTAAAAAAATTGTTCAAATTATAGCGGATAAATTGGCCTTGCCCCAGGGCACCAACTTTACTGCGAAGCGCTATTCAGGTACCATGGTGTTACCTCATAAAACAACTTGAATCACATTTTATCAGCTTATTTCAGCTATACATTTTTTTCAGTTCGGCTAAATAAAAATTATATTGGCCAGTGTATTTACCGTGTTGGAAATCCTGTTGGGTATCCACCATTTATTGCACAATTCTGGGTTACTTATTGCACGAATAGTGCGTCATTTTCACATTTCGGCGTTACTGGATAATAATAATTACACGGTGTAAAAATCATTTTCTCTGTTTTGACAGAGGCTAGAGGCTAGATATAAGGCATGAAACATTGTGTAGTAAACCTCTACCAAAATTGTTCAAAATTGGCGCCACCCTGGGAGTCATTGATTTTCATTATGTACATATAGTATAAACTTAAAAAATCTTCTTTTAAAAAACTCAAAGAGCTAGAGGTTGGATATTTAGCAATAGAATTTTCTTATGGTTGTCTACCAAGTTTGTTCAATTAAAAGCCCTGGGGTCAGTCCGTTGCAGATTTTTTGTCTGGGACATAACTCAGAAACTACAAGAGATATTAACTTCATGTTTTGTAGATCTCATTGAGTAGAGGTGCAGTGCAAAAAAAACATAACTCTGCCTTGCCTAATTTTGTTATTACACTTTGTTTATTTTTATACCCCAGCACAACAAAGTTGTGTACTGGAATCAGCTTGTCGGTCTGTCAGGACGTCTCCCCGCACTACCGGATAGGGATAGGGGGCCATTTAACTGTAGACAGAACAAAATAGAAAAATAGAGTCCATTCTGTAAGAATAGAATAAGGGGCCATCGTCCCTCTATTAAACAATAGTAAATAACAAAAGAAATGGCCCCTTATTCCATTTCGGCCTGACAGCCGTCCGTCGTTTTTTTCCTTGTCCACCCAATAACTTAAGATTCCTTTGACCCACAGTCTTCATATTTGGTATTTAGATTGGTCATGATTAGTAGATGATCCCTATTGATTTGAAGTCACCAGGTCAAAGGTCAAGGTCACAGGGGTCTTGACTTGAAAAAGCTTGTCCGCCCAATAACTAAAGACTCCTTTAACCCACAGTCTTCATATTTGGCATGGAGGTTAGTCATGATTAGTAGATGACCCCAATTGTTTTTGAGATCACTGGGTCAAGGTCACAGGGGCCTTGACTAGAAAAGCTTGTCTGCCCAATAACTTTAGATTCCTTTGACCCACAGTCTTCATATTTGACATGGAGGTTGGTCATGATTAGTAGATGACCCCTATTGATTTTGAGGTCACCAGGTCAAAGGTCAAGGTCACAGGGGTCTTGACTTAAAAAAGCTTGTCTGCCCAATAACTAAAGACTCCTTTGACACACAATTTTCATATGTAGCATGGAGATTTGTTATGATTAGTAGATGACCCCTATTGATTTTGAGATCACTGGGTCAGAGGTCAAGGTCACAGGGGCCTTGACTAAGAAAAGCTTGTCCGCCCAATAACTTAAAATTCCTTTGACCAACAGTCTTTATATTTGGCATGGAGGTTGGTCATGATTAGTAAATGACCCCTATTGATTTTAGGTAACTGGGTCAAAGGACAAGGTCACAGGCCTTGACTAAAAAAAAGCGTGTCCACACAATAACTTTAGATTCCTTTGACCCACAGTCTTCATATTTGGCATGGAGGTTAGTCATGACTAGTAGATGATCCCTATTGATTTTGAAGTCACCAGGTTAAAGGTCAAGGTCACAGGGGTCTTGACTTACAAAAGCTTGTCTGCCCAATAACTAAATACTCCTTTGACCCACAATCTTCATATTTGGCATGGAGATTTGTTATGATTAGTAGATAACTCCTATTGATTTTGAGATCACTGGGTCAGAGGTCAAGGTCACAGGGGCCTTGACTAAAAAAGCTTGTCCGCCCAATAACTTTATATTCCTTTGACCCACAGTCTTCATATTTGGAATGGAGGTTAGTCATGATTAGTAGATGACCCCTATTGATTTTGAGGTCACCAGGTCAAAGGTCCACGTCACAGGGGCTTTGACTAAAAAAGCTTGTCCACCCAATAACTTTATATTCCTTTGACCCACAGTCTTCATATTTGGCATGGAGGTTAGTCATGATTAGTAGATGACCCCAATTGATTTTGAGGTCACCAGGTCAAAGGTCCACGTCACAGGGGCCTTGACTAAAAAAGCTTGTCCGCCCAATAACTCAAGATTCCTTTGACCAACAGTCTTTATATCTGGCATGGAGGTTAGTCATGATTAGTAAATGACCCCTAATGATTTTTAGGTAACTGGATCAAAGGTCAAGGTCACAGGCCTTGACTAAAAAAAGCTTGTCCGCCCAATAACTTTAGATTCCTTTGACCCACAGTCTTCATATTTGGCATGGAGGTTAGTCATGACTAGTAGATGACCCTTATTGATTTTGAGGTCACCAGGTCAAAGATCAAGGTCACAGTGGCCTTGACTAAAAAAAGCTTTTCTGCTCAATTGCTTAAGAATGCTTTGGTCAACAGTCTTCAATTTTGGTATTGAGGTTTATGACTAGTAGGTGACCACTATTGATTTTTAGGTGACTGTGTCAAAGGTCAAGGTCACAGGGATTTATACTATAATAAGCTTGTCTGCTCAAATGTTTAAGAATGCCTGTAAGCAGTGTATTGATTTTGACATTTTCACATTTGAAGCATGTAGAATACATAACTTAGGAATGCTAATTTTGGAGTTATTGCCCCTTTATGGTTGCATAAAAGTCCCATGTGCAAGTTAGACTGTACTTCACAAATCAAGGATTGATTAAGGTACTGTTTTAAATAAGTAACAAATGTCTAAAAGCAACTTGTCTCCAGATTTATGCTATTTTTTTATGAAAATTTTGAAAATGTAAAAGTAAAATTTTGTGAATTAAACAATGAAAGTAATTTACACATTGCAAATAACATTTACAATCCATGTAAATTGCCAATTAGAGGTCAAAGTATTCAATCATAGCCATTATTGCTTTAGTCAGGCAGTAGAAATGTGATGATAAATACTGCAAAATCATTCATATATTTTTTTACTTTTCTTATAATCTGTACATTTTTCTCAAGTTTGATATTCTTGAAATATTTTTGGCTCATCTGGAGGCATGCAGCTTTAAGTTGAACTGTTTAAAAGTCTGTTAGATATTTCAAATTAGTGTACATGCTACCAAATTTTATTCTTGATTGTAGGTGTAAGGATATATGCAAGAATCATCAATATTATGTGGAGTTTGGTGGAATAGGAGAGCCACCATCTGGAGCTAAACATCTTGGATGTTGTTCTCAGTCTGCTGTATTTGTCAGGAAATCAAATGCTACAAAACATGAACACTCAGACTCTATATCCAACAGTTATAAATTGGTTAGGAAAACAAATGTTCTTATAATAATTCAGATACAAGAATGAAATGTTCAGATATTATTATACCCGGCTGATGGAATCGGGAGGGGGATATTGTTTTGGTGTTGTCCTTCCTTATGTCCGTACGAATTTCGTTTCCTTGCTAGTTCTCTGCAACTACTGGCTGGAATTCATTGAAACTTTATGGGAACCATTAATACTAAGAGGAGATGAGCATATGATTGGCTTGTCCTGTCAGACCCTTTAACTCAGAGTTATGGCCCTTGATTTGTTATGCAGTTTGCATATAGAGCAATAATCTTTTCCGCGCTACTTCTCTCTGCAACTACTGGCTGGAATTCAATGAAATTTTAGGGGAACTTCAATACCAAAGAAAAAAAATTTGCAGCCTGAATAAATTTTTAAAATAAAGCCTTATTTCAAATTTGTTTTAGAAATAACTGGGTGGCAAACGAATCCAAAAAATCAAAACCGAGATGGCTTTTCCATTAAACTTGGTTTTTCGAAAGATTTCCCAAAGATCATTAAAATTTTTTAAAAACAATATCAACACCGTCTGCAGCTACTTTCGTTTTCTATTTTAATTTATAGAAATTCGTAAAATTTTATAAAATAAAACTGCAAGAAAGGTAAATTGAATAACCAAAAAAAATAGAAATTTTTATTTCAAAAAAATTAAGATTATTGCAAAAGTTTTAACCGAAGCACCCCCCTTGGGAAAAAATAACTATACCGGCAAGGACTATTACAAATACTGTAAAAATATTTAGATTAGAAAACTACCTTTAATCACACCTATCGGAAATGTTTCTATATATACAAAGAAGGCCCTAATTTTTCTGCCGTTCTTATTATCTCCCTGTGTATTTTCACATTGAGGGCGCCATTTTGTTTGAAAAATGTGATAAATAAAAACAATTTTTTGTCGAATTTTGTTGTGAAAACCATCTAGAATGAAAGAAAATGGTCTAACTAAGAAAATGGATGCGAACACCAATATCTTTTATTCAGTCGTTAACGCTGTACAGACGTTTAAAGTATTGTTTACTGACGTCACAATGTAGCGCCAAACAGCACGTGCAAAACAATCAAATCAAGTACGCTATTTTAATGTCGCAAACGAGTAAAGTTTTACATTTATTTCACTTTTAATAATTTTTATTTCGCTTGAAAAAATATAAAGTTTTATCAACGTTTCCAAAATTCGTTATTCTACACACAGAAGATTTAAGGACAGTTTTTATATTTTTTCTTGAAAAGTAGTCCGGCAAACATGCATACCACGTGATCAAGTGCCGTAGATCAGTAAAAATATACGGCACCTTGTTATCGGGCCGAAATTGATACAAGTGACAGGATAAAATTAAAATCAGCAACATTATATTTCAAATACAATGCAATGATTATTGCAATATCAAGTTTTAAACATGTATAGCAGTTCATACTTGAAATAATATAGACTGATAGGCGGCAATGGACATAGTTAGCAAATACATGTAATAAATATAAACATAAGAGAATGTCAATGACAGCATATATTTATGTTTTTAGCTCGACTATTCAATAAGAATAAGTAGAGCTATTGTAGTCACCCGAGCGTTGGCGTCAGCGTAACCACTTATGTTAAAGTTTTTGTAATAGTTTAAATATTTTCAAAGTCCATTGACATATGGCTTTGAAACTTTGCACACTTGTTCACCATCATGACCCCAACATGTAAACAGGAGGAGGTACCTCTATCAAGCATTTTGACAGAATTATGCCCCTTTTTCGACTTAGAATTTACGTTAAAGTTTTTGTAATACCTCAAATATTTTCAAAGTCCATTGACATATGGCTTTGAAACTTTGCACACTTATTCACCATCATGACCCCAACCTGTAGACAGGAGGAGGTAACTCTATCAAGCATTTTGACAGAATTATGCCCCTTTTTCGACTTCCATATTATTTTCACACCTCTGCAAGGATGTTTTGATTATATTTAACAAGTATTTATGAAGATACGTGTACATCTCCGAATTTCTGAACTTAATTGGATACACAAATCTTTCTAAGTCGCAAAAAAAAGAAAAAAAAAGAAATTATGTATTTTTTCCGAGTAATCGAATATCTCTTTTGTTAACCGATATTCGGATGTTCGATCGAGTACTCAGTTAACCTGTTACTCGTTGCCATCCCTAGTAATAACCAATACTTGGCGGGGGATATAAATTCAACAAATTTGCTTGTTTAAAGTCTGCTGGGGTTGTGCTTGTCTAGAAAACAACAACAACAACAAAACAGATACATTTAAAACTGATACAAATTTTGTGTAAAGTAAAACAGGCATTAAGATTCAAGACGTTTAAGTACAGTATTTTTCAAATATCTTAAAATCCGTACATCCCAAATTCATGTCCAGCACATAACTTTGTTATTTGAAGTCGGATTTTACAACAATTTTTACAGAAATGATCACTGTATTAAGACGACATGTCAAGCACAACATTTGGGAAGCTACCTTGAAGGTCAAAATCACAGCATGTCACCTTGAAGCAAAATCATGTCCGGCCCATAACTTCGTTATTTGAAGTCGGATTTTACAACGATTTCACAGAAATGATCACTTTATTGATACGACCTGTCGAGCACAACATTTGGGTCACTACCTTGAAGGTCAAGGTCACAGCATGACCTTGAAGCAAAATCATGTCTGGCCCATAACTTCATTATTTGAAGTCAGATTTTACAACTATTTCACAGAAATGATCACCATGTTGAGATGAAGTGTCGCACACAACATTTGTGTCACTACCTTAAAGGTCAAGGTCACAGCATGACCTTGAAGAAAAATTGTGTCCGGCCCATAACTTTGTTTTTTGAAGTCGGATTTTACAACTATTTCACAGAAATGATCACCATATTAAGACAACGTGTCGTGCACAACATTTGGGTCGCTACCTTGAAGGTCAAGGTCACAGCATGACCTTGCAGCAAAATTGTGTCTGGGCCATAACTTTGTTATTTGAAGTCGGATTTTACTACTATTTTACAGAAATGGTCACTATATTGAGAGGACATGTCGCGCGCAACATTTGGGTCGCTACCTTGAAGGTCAAGGTCACAGCATAACCTTGAACCAAAATTGTGTCCGGCCCATAACTTCGTTATTTGAAGTCGGATTTTACAACTATCACCCAGTTCAACTGGCTCTTGTTGGTATTTTCTTCTTTGTTACTATAAATGGTATATATTTGAAAATTGGTATATTTTTCATTTTTTTTTTTTTTTTACTTTAAATGGTATCTACTTTTGACTTAAGATAATTCTTCTTGTCACAACTCACATTTTGTCTGATGAAGTTCATAATTCTAGCATCTATATTTCAAGAGTTATCTCCTCTTTAGATTAAGTCTGACTGTCTGGCCGCCCCTAAACGCTGTTTTCTGAGGTTCTTTTAAAGAACATGGAATTTTTACAACAAATTTGCTTAAAATAGAGAAAAGTTGAAACATTTGTTATAACCTGAGAGAAATTGAGTCTTTATACCCCCATACAACAAAGTTCTATGGGGGTATACTGGAATCAGCTTGTCCGTCTGGCCATCTGACTGGCTGTCCGTTTTTCCTTGTCTGCCTAGTAACTTAAGATTCCTTTGACCCACAGTCATTTTTATACGCCCGTTTGAAAAACGGGACGTATTATGGGAACGCCCCTGGCGGGCGGGCGGGCGGTCGGGCGGGCGGGCGGGCGGCGTCCAATTTTGTCCGGAGCATATCTCCTACATGTATGGAGGGATTTTAATGAAACTTCATATAAATGTTCACCACTATGAGGAGCAGTGTCGCGCACATGAACCAGGTCTCTAGGTCAAAGGTCAAGGTCACACTTAGAGCTCATTGAAAAATGCTTGTCCGGAGCAAAACTTCCACATGTATAGAGGGATTTCAGTATTACTTGGCACAAATGTTCACCATTGTGAGGCGGAGTGTCGCGTGCAAGATTCAGGTCCTTGCGGCCAAGGTCAAGGTCACACTTAGAGGTCAAAGTTCAGATAAAAATATGAAGATGTGTATATGGACCATTTAGTCATCATTTATTGAGGGATTGTAACACAAATGGTCATTATGAAGACTATGGCTGTGATACATATAATTTAGGTCAATATATACAAGGTCAAGGTCACTAAAGATGATGAAATATCCAGATTTTGTAAATAGAATTTAATCAAAGGGAGACAACAAAGTTATTACTTTGTTCATAAATGACTTACACAATTACTCCCTTGATCTATTTTCTAAAAATAGAATTTAATCAAAGGGCATGAAATAATCCTCTTTCTTGGACTTGAGTATGTTGTAAAGAATGTAACATTTATTTACACATGTTTCATTCATTGGTCAAGATACTTAACTGTGATAACTATGGTGTTCTGTAGACTTGGTATTTGTTCATAAAGATCATACAGTAATTACCTTATCAAATGTAAATACTTTCTCATAGAAATTTAATTATATTTTAATTTTCAAGTAAATATCAGTTCAGCTCATTCAAAGATTAAAGAATTGTAATGAAATGTATTTCCCTAGAATAAAATCTTAAATCAGAATTTTTTAGTTATTAAATTACATGTACTTTTTATACGCCCGTTTAAAAAAAAAGATAAAAATATGAAGATGTGTATAGGGACGATTAATCATCATTTATTGAGGGATTGTAACACAAATGGTCATTATAATGACTACGGCTGTGACACATGTACTTTAGGTCAATATATGCAAGGTCAAGGTCACTAAAGATGGTGAAATATCCAGATTTTGTCTGGAGCATATCTCCTACATGTATGGAAGAATTTTTATAATACTTTATGGAAATGCTCACCACCATGATATGTATTGCTCCATGCATGATCCAGGTCTCCAGGTCAAAGGTCAAGGTCACACTTAGAGCTCATTGAAAAACGCTTGTCCGGAGCAAAACTTCTACATTCATAGGGGGTTTTCAATATAACTTGGCACA